GAGGTTCATTTGCATTATAACTCTTAAAGAATGTCTGTCAGTTGAATGAGGTATCTAATTTAGTTATCTAATATAATTAAAACTAACGTGATTTGTATACTGGTATAACAGATGTAGAAACCACATCATTAACAATGTATTGACTTAATTCCTTTGATCTATAGGTCGCTCACTAAACATCTAAATATTAGATCTACTTACTAAATGTACCTATTAGTTTGTTGTGACTGCGATACTTCCATAGGTAAAGTTTATTACGGAAGCTGTGAGTGGAAGGACTGCATTTAAATTATTGTAATGTGAATTCCTCTGCACTTGAATGGGCAGATAATCTAACGCCTGTTGCAACTTCCTGCTTAAAAGTTACTGTTAAGGAGTTTCATAACATTTCCATGGGCTTCTGTAACACTTGATTCCATTAGTCTGAGATGTTGACCTAGATAGTAAACCATGCTTACTCTTTATAAACACCTAATGGTACATCTATTTGGAGGTGTCGACTACTATACTACCTTTACTCCCGATTTTGCCAATCTTTGCACGAGATTTAGATTAACGGAATTGTCTTGGGTTTTACGGATTTCTATTCCATTTTCCCCCAGCGCATCTTGGTGTTGAACCCTATATCTGTATTCGCTGATGGTTTAACAGACGAGAGTGTATGCTCCCTAAAAACAAGGCATCTTGCTAACTGCTATCTTTAAAAATCATTGGTATTCCCTTACTTCGTTGCTGATGCTTTTAGTAATCTAATCATGCTGCAAACACCACCCATTATGTCATTTAATTTGACAAATTACTGTTGTGTATAGTTAACCATTGACTCAAGCTAACTACATACAACTCAGACATCTAACAATGAATCGACAATTCTAGACACAAATAATCATAAATACCACGCAAATCCTTTCATCCATTCACAATGCTACAGTCTTTCATAGGGATACGAGCCTTTATTTTATGATTAAAGGGACTGTTATACCATTTATGGGAATGATTTGAGCGTTGAATACATGTAAATAGTCTTCAGAAGTACCAAAAATGTACGAAAATCACGTAAATCCTTCAAAAGTCTCAAACTTGGAATTTCTTTTCCTCTGTCTATAGATGTCCTTTCTATATATGGCGTAACTCAAGATAAGGCGACTTGTCTTTTAAACTTTCAAACGCTGATAATTCTGGATACACATGATATGAAGGCTCAAATTTTTACAGTGAACTGTGAACACTATTACTTTTATTTTAAAAATTTCCCGTTTCTGCGACTAAGATATGATTGGTTCCTTTAAGGTGGAATTGAAATCTATCCACTCATGTATTGCAATAATTGACACAATGCAATTCGGGAATGCTATAAGGGAATTGAAAGGGATTCAAACGAGGATATTTATTCGAGCCAGTGATGACTTTATACGAACTGTCCAATTTTTTCCGCAACGTCTGTTATGTGTTTTTATAAATCTATAAGCAACTTTTTATCCCTGTGTTGTTACATGATACTTCTTACTGTCTTTTTATGTTCAATTATCTTAAAAATTAAGTTTCACGATCGAATAAAATAATGCAATAAGTCTTTCTCCTAAAGATTGACTTCCCACAATGCTCTCTGAATAAGGGAGAAAACCACACATTAAAAGAATATCAGATCACAGTGATAAAATTAGAAATTTGAATTTCCAGAATATAAAGACAGTATCAGAGATACAACTAAGACAGTTAGTAACGTCTTGAACTGGAAAAACCAGTCATCTGACATTGCAACGGAATTGTGCAAATACAAGCTCTCAGTGTATCTGATATACATGCAAAACCTCTTTTGGATCTCACCATCTTAACCATTACTCATTTACCCGATACAAGTATTATAATAATATTTGATCTCCTTTCTATTTTCAGGCATTTGTTGACCCATACCCGGAAGAAAATAATGGTAAGTTTCTGTAATACAAATTGGATTCCATGACTTTTCATCTTAGAGAAGCTCCATTGTTTTTTTTAGCGTGGTGGAGGTCGCTAGCTATTAAGCACACCTGTTTGTTTGACTTACACTAACCACTTGATCCACACAAACGATGATAGTACTCGCAGTCCGAAGTGATTGTAAGACTACGATCTATGATTTTTTGTTGGTTATGACATGTTCTTGTATATGTTTCCTGATGCCTTCGTCCCACTTGTAAAGGTTTGATCAACTAACTTGAAGAAATGTTCAGTTTTATACTTTATACACGATATTTTTCTGTTACAGGTATAAATAGTGTATTTTTAACAGAAGGAGATATATTAGTGGATATGGTAAGCATTTTTACAGTACTTATAATCATTAAGTGGTGTTGGTAGAATAATTGGTATTGGGTGGGGTCAAAAAAGCTCTGGAATAAGATGTCTTCTTTGCAGAAATTTAGATATTTTATGAGTTACTTATTCGATACATGGGTACACTGTTCATAAAAATGTTATGGATATTTCAGACTTTAAAACATGTTTAGATTTAATATTTAAGATGTAAACATTATAATATTCAATTATTTTTCCAATTACGATATTAGCCGGATCATCAAAGTGTGTATAACCATCATTCGAGACAGGTTACTTATGAGTAATTCATATTTTTGGCATGTTTTTATTCCTTTTGTATATGTAATTATTTCACATTCTTTCGATTTTGGGGGGAGCTGGTTAGGTAGAATGGACTGACATAAAAAACGGGCCCAGTCTTACAATCTAATTGAAAATCTAATTACCTCATTGCCCACTTCCTGGAGTTGGTCGTCTCCAAAATCTGATACTACGACAGAAAAGTACGATGTAAAACTCCATTTCAATTCATTTGGTTTCTTGTATCAATATATGAAATCAGAAGCCAGTTATTAATTGAAAAATATTGGCACAGTGACACATCACTGGATCAAATGTATTTGCTAATATCATGCTGACTGACACTGACACTTGGAGTCTTCAACTTTGAACAACAATCTGACGTCGATGTTAAATATCAATTAAACCAAATAAAATCATGAGTGGAATCGTACACTGTTCCGTTAATTTTCACTAGATTTACAGAAACCAGATATTTCGGGCTTTTCAGATATATCACACTTCTCATTATTGTACTCTGACACAGACTGCGTATTTAGCCCTTTTTAGGCTTCAACCAAAGTCGAAAGAGCGTTTATCATAATGTGAATTGTTGTTCCTCTTCTTCGTAGTAAACTGTTTTATTTCCCCATGGCTTAGTATAAAATCTCAACTACCCTACAGCACCAACTGACAACCGGAACATTATTCTTCAAACTAAAGTTTCCGTTCAGTCCAGTCTTTGAGTCAATGCTCTTTTGATTTTCGCGCAGTTGATAACTGCCGGTTCGCTAGGTTGTGTTGTTTACTGGTTGGGGTTTAATATAAACCCATTACCCATACAATATGATATAGCGAGTATTGTGTCAATTTGCATACTTTATGAATCGACAAAAAGGTCGTTGCAAACTTTTTTATGCATTTCTACCAAAGAATTTCTGAAATTTCGTGAACATTATTAAATACTATGTCTTAGAATGAACATAAAATTTAAGTTCTCGAAACGGTCAATATGAGTATATATCCACAAGTTAGCTTACCTGGTGTCATAAAGTTACAACAGAATCCTTGTAAAACCTGGAAAATTGGAAAATTCATAAAACTAAGTAATTATTGAAAAACGCTTGATATTAAGCGTTTTTTAATAGTTAATTGCATATTCATGGATAATTAGGCCTACTAAGATTATATAATGATCCTGTTATGTTATTTATGACACCAGGTATATCAACTGGCTCCTATTCGACAAGTTTAAAATTCTTAAATTTTATGTTAATTCTAAGACGTAGTATCACTTTAAGATTATTATGTCGATTGACTCACAAAAATATTATAATCTCCCAAATAATTCACTCTTGCGATGCATAGATTACACGTATTTATTTGGTTCGCATTATATAACATGCAACCTTTGAATGCTATATTTTATTTTTCTAGCATCAGCCAGCATATATTTCTTGTATGAAATTTTAAAATCATTATTTTTTTTTTTAGACGATCTGATTAACATGCAGATGTAGTGTTTCGATTCATCTTTTTTCTCACTCGACATCTATGAACTGACAAAGTTTGTGACAATACGAGGTTCTTTAAGTATATAACCAATCAAATGCTTAAGATGTACTGCCTTCTTTAAGCATCGTTATTGTTGAGGATAAATCGGGATAACCTTATAGCGAACGTGGTTTTTAGATGAATTTCGTCAGATCATGGGTGGCGAGCGTAGTAACCTAAAGAGAAACACGACACAAACATAAATTTTCATTTTAATCAGGTTGTTACATGAATAGAAATCAATATGTTACCTTATTAGTTCTATAATTGTATATTAGTGTTGTGAATTGCATCTTAAGTGAACAGAATGTTGTCCTGTATATTATTTTTCTGCTCAGACCTAGGCTCTGACCAATTGAAAGTCCCCTTAGGATTATGCATGATGAATTCTCCACAAATGTTATAAACCATTAGCATTGTATTATTTGTATATGTATGTCTGAATGTTATTCGTGTTTTCTCAAAGGGATAAAGTCGTCTAAATATTAGCTTAACCAGCGGATAGAGCTTCATCTAATTTATTCTGATCCCCTTTCAGAAGCTCTACCTGGTGGAGAGCAAATCAATATTTAGACGCCTTTATTCATTTAATCAATTTCACAGAAGTCTCACCCTATAAGCAATTTCTTGCAACCTTTTTTTTATTTTACATGGTCAGAATTAGGTCCAACATACCAAAACGACAGGGTACATTGTAAAGGCAATACAATTGTAAATAAGTATAGACTCTAGGCGTCTGAAAACTTTATTCTTACTTTGATTCTGAGATGTTGTAACAGAAAGTTCAACATGTAAGGATTTATAGGTTCAGACATGTCGGTTTTCTTCACAAGCGTTACAATCAATTTATTATCATTATCTTGCAGAGACGAAATGCAGTAAGAGATATACATTCTACTTGGTTAAATAGAACAGTTCCTTATGAAATAGATAACACTTATGGTAACAGCTATTTATTATCTGTTTCCTTGGATCTATACCTAGGCATCACAGCACAAAATAAATATATATAGTATATTCCTAGTCATATCAATTAGCATTTATTGATTCAAACTGAACTGATGGACCAACAATTCATGGATCGTGGTTATGGTCTAAAGCAATTTTTATTGACTGCAGTGTGCACTCCGACAAGGGATACCAGCAGATCATGTGCGAGCATTGAAAGTTTTGGTCGATTGAAGATACTTCACGATGAGTCATTATGTAGAAATTTGTGGAGTCACAGAAGCAATGACCCATTCAATATCACGGAATAGTTTCTATTTAATGTTTAATAGAGATATTGTACAGATTGGTTCTGATTATAAAATATATTTACCTTGTGTAATACACTTCATTTTGTGCTAACTTGCCCCAATGTTTCAGATCATGTCCAAAGAATGGAAATGAAACTTGCCATGGATGAATTTCAAAATAAAACCTGTGTCAGATTTGTTCCGAGAACAGATGAACCAGATTACATTAGAATACGATCAGATACTGGGTATGTTGGGTTATTCGAATCAGCTTTTATTATACTTACTACTTACTATACTTAAAACGAACAGGAAAGCATTTGCGACATCACTCAATATCACCAGCATTTCAGGAGAAGGTCCAGAAATCCAGTTGAAACGTGGATTTCAACATTCATGGTAGGGTGATATATTAACGTCCTTATGATAAGCTGACAATTGCTACATTGTAGCATCGTTTTTTGTATTAATTCATTGTGAGAAGAAAGTTTCTCAAAGACTAGCCCAGATAGAGCATGCAGATTTACTTACTCTTACTCTATGCTCAGCCGTGTGTTCTGTGTTTCTTACAGATGTTTCAGTCCAGTTGGTAGGCGTGGTGGTCAACAGTTAGTGTCTATAGGACCAGGTTGTGATAGCAAGGGTACAATCATGCACGAGTTGATGCATACTCTCGGTTTTTGGCATGAACACAGTCGACCAGATAGAGATACATATATAACTATAATATGGGACAACATTCCACAAAGTAGGTAACTATAATTAAGTATTTTTAGGTTTTTTCATATAAAAATCTATAGATCACACACATGGATGTACTTGCAAAATGAATACCTTGACTATGGCAACTATTCAAAAGAGACAATACGAAGTATGAGGTAGTTCTATGATGCCACGATAAATTTTACTGTTTTCTGTCACTGATTCCAGACTTTTACGTTTCAATTGATTGTTTTACACCATCTTCCTCATAGAAAATAAATACAGTTATTTCTTTTTTATTGAGTTATCTCCTCTTCCGAAGTTCCAACGATTCTTTTTCAGTTCACGAAACGAATTTTAGAAAGTATACAGTAGAAGATATAGATACGTTAGGCGCAGCATATGATTATGGTTCTATTATGCATTATAAAAATAATACATTCGCCACAGACAGGTCAAAACCAACTATCAAAAATAAATACCCTCTATCTGAAGGTGTTGAGATGGGACAGAGAATCAGACTATCTGAAATAGATATAGATAAGGTGAAGCGACTGTACCGGTGCAGTAAGTAGTATTTCTTATTCAAATTTTAATTTGGAAAGAAATACCTAAGTCAGTTCTATAGTTTGTCAAGCTAGCAAAGTATTTGAGTTGCTCAAAAGTAAAAATGCAGATTATATCATATATAAAGATAGCTAAATTTGTCGTTTCACTGAAACAAACCGCCTATTCTATCGACCAAGAGAACTGATTAGCCTATTGCTCATCTGAGGGATTTTAATGATCAATCAAATATGTCAGCCATGAATAAATGTTAGATCGTATTTCGAATTTTCTCTAGCCAAGTTGATATAATAATCGAATTACATTTAAATTATTATACAAGGGAGACAAATGATTGTGTGAGGGGGGTAACTGAACAAATTTAAACAGTTTAAAAGGACAGATCCTTGATCGAATATTATCACACCGGATAACGATGATTTCTCATTGTTATCAAAAGCTATAAAGTTGTTCTCTACTTTCACATGATAATTTGCATGCGGAATATGTTGAAATGTAGCTTTTGACATATGGTGTATAGTGATTTTTGGAATGTATTTTTATAATGTACAGATATAAGTCATTGTCCAGATGCAGGGGTACCAAAGTATGGGTTTAGAAAAGGAGACGATTTCCGTGTAGCTAGTGCTGTACAGTATAACTGTTCTGAAGGCTATGTGTTAGTTGGTAGTCGTGCTCGGTATTGTATGGATATTGGACAATGGACGGGGAATGTTCCAGTATGTCTACGTGAGCAAATTTTTATAATCTAGTAGGTAGCATATAGTCTACACGTATCTCAGGTACAACACATCCTTATTTAAGTCTCTAATAAGAATTAGTATGATGACCACCAAAGTAAGTTTCGAAATATGTTTTCATTGACAAAAGGGAATGTAAATAATAAGATGAATGAAAAAGGATTGTACACACCATGAATTAGGCTTTGTTACTAAGATTTGCCAATCATCTTTAATCAAAAAATAAATTTTGGTTTGTGATAGTTGGAAATGAAATTGTCTTGTTTATACATTGTTCATTTGGACCCCATCTTTGGCAAAGACAATGATAAAGCTGTCTCCGAGGTCATTCTGGTAAGGTCGGAATACGAGACTAAATTTATTTTATTCTCAAATATTATCAGACATCAAAAGATTTTTTGGATATTTCAGCTGCTAACAAGGGAGGTGTATTACATTATTGTAATTTTGACCGTAATAATATTTGTGGTTGGAAGCAAGACGTTAAAGACGATAGAGATTGGACGATTGGTAACAGAGATACGCCAAGTGTTTTCACTGGTCCAAAGGAAGATCGAACTATGGGTACACAAGAAGGTTTGTAGTCCAGAATAATTTTGACCAAAGAAATCAGGATGTAAATTCTATACCGGTTCTTTAAGCACGGTATCCAGTAAGCATGTACTCATCTCTTGCAGATTGTAGATTAAATTCTTTTTGTTCCAGGTTATTATATTTTCCTAGAAAGTTCCAAACCATGTGAAGAACAGAATGCTGCTCGATTAATTTCGCCATCGTTTAGTTTTCCAGGAGCTAAACCGTGTCTTGTGTAAGTGTGTCTTTTAAGGTTGCAATATAAAAAATCTTTGCCTTACTTTACGAATAACCACTTGTTTTCAGTTTAATCGTACCATGGTGTTAATCTATTTCATAGAACAATAATGCTACCGGACTTCAATGCGAGTGGATTTTTTTTTTTTAGATAGGTAATGGAGGTTTTTATCCTTGTGTGGATACTTTATGCAAGGTCTTCTGCGTCTCTGTCACTGATATTCGTTAAAACAGTCTATTAACAAGAGCTAAACTTATTCTGTCGACCTGTGCTTCGGATGTAATCTTATCATTATGGTTTGGAAATGAAGTATATGCAACTGAAACTCTTTGAACTGTAGACAGAAGTCAACGATAAGAATATTTTATAGTATCGGTGAACCTGATAGATTTAACAGAAATTGTCCATATTGTCCATTACATTTCGATATCTTTCAGATTTTATTACAATATGTACGGTGCTACAATGGGAACATTAAATGTTTATCAGAGAGTTAGTGGCAAAAACATGTTAAAATTTAGTCGAAGTGGAGATCAGGGCCAAGATTGGCATATGACTGCTGTTTTGTTGGATGACTACAGTAGTTTTGAGGTAATTCAAGCAACATTTCAGATCGTGGTCTTTGAGCACCGATATAATATCAGAGCACATGATGGAGCTTTGCTACTTATGGTTTATTGATTATTATAAAAAGGGTTCAAACCATCTCGGAGGAAAGGGTAAAAAAAAAACAGATCACAAACATCCCAAGATCAATAGTCTTATTTTTGTTTTACAAAGAAAATTTCATGTGCACTAGGTATATTTCTATTTCATACACTGCAATCATCGTATCATTAAAGTGGAAAAGTGAAAAAAATGGGAAAAATCTGTTGATTTTCTTGTATTGTATTTACAGATCGTGATAGAAGCTGTAGCTGGTTCGAGCTTCAAAAGCGACATGGCAGTTGATGACGTCATAGTTGGTTCCTGCGATATCTTGACATCTCTAGTTAATGGTAGACTTTCAACTGATTTAATTCCTTTAGAACTGATAGAATACCTTTAATCTGGAATCTTCGAATAATAATCCCTTGATGCATAATAAATTAATTTTGTTTCAAAGGGACAACTTCGAGCAATTTTAGTTTTTGGCTTTGGGGTTTTCGGAGAAATAATGGAGAGGCATATTTATATCTACAAAAAAAATCAAATTATTTTTAATCAAGTGGAATCCTATAGATTGACTTCATAATCACTTGTTCCCTAAGGTTTAAAGAGATAATAAAATGAAAATAATCTTGAGGAATGATCACCCATTTCGTTTCAAACAAACCAAAAAACTTTTTTCGACGTAGTCTTTTTAACATTTTCTTTTGAACATACGCGAAGCTACGCGCTTTGGTACAGCAGGAGGCTACACTTATTAATTATATTTGGGTGCGGGTAATCCCTCTCGTATGATTACGAATAAGAATTCTTTTTTAGCGCGGTTCCATAAATTTGTTGACCAGCCGATGACTTGAACTATAGATTTATTCTTAATGTTTAATACTGTGTCATGAAGAACAGTACCACAAGATTGTTACATTCAATACAAGCTCAATGAATGTGGAACGGTTTTAAAAATGTAAACCTTAACTGATTCAATTTTGAAATGTTTTGGCTTTGGGATGTATTTTTGTTCCCAATAACTTGTCATCTCTCATAGAAGAAATTATAAGAAATCGAATCGTGAAAGTGGTTAAATTACATGTGTAGTATGGATAAGATAAAAAAAATGTCTCTCATGCTTTCACTTTTAATTTAATGAGGCAAACTTTCGCAAATATACAATGTTTCTTCAGGCCAGGTTTAAAGAATTCCGAGATGAACAAAATGTAGGCGGTGGTGTTTCCCCCCCAATATATAAAGTACAACTTCGACAAACTTGTTCAGAGGAAGATCATTATGCATTATCAAATGTATTTCTTCATGCAAAAACCATAGTTAATCATCTATTTAATACTGCATATTACTTACCTTAAAACCCCGGCTGTCAATGCCCTCAATGAAAAAAAGATTAGCCATCAGGTGTACAAGACGAGCCGTCAATTATACTCATTCGTGACAGGCAAGATGTACCAGATGTGCCATCAGCAGAACACATTCTATATAGGCCAATAGTAGCGCGCAATCAATATGGACTATCAATTGCGCACATCGAAGATTGAATACAGTACAGTTGGACTATTAGCTTTAAAGATTTTTTATGAGCCATCACATCTTATGAACTATCTTCTGTGCACGTCCATGATGGGCCATTAACTGACACGTTCTAGATGAACAATAACCTGTACACATGGACCATCACATTGTGTACACATTATACACGGACTTTCAACTGTACACTTTCAATATGGACCATCAGCTATGTACATTCAATATGGAGCATCAGCTGTACATATTATAGATAGACTATCAGCTGTACACACTCAATTTGGACCATCATTGTTTACATCAGAATATGGAGGATCAGCTGCGTAAATTCAATATGGACCATCAGCTGTGTACATTCAATATGGACCATCAGCTGTGTACATTCAATATGGACCATCAGCTGTGTACATTCAATATGGACCATCAGCTGTGTACATTCAATATGGAGGATCAACTGCGTAAATTCAATATGGACCATCAACTGTGTACATTCAATATGGACCATCAGCTGTGTACATTCAATATGGACCATCAGCTGTGTACATTCAATATGGACCATCAGCTGTGTACATTCAATATGGACCATCAGCTGTGTACATTCAATATAGACCATCAGCTGTGTACATTCAATATGGTGCATCAGCTGTACATATTATAGATAGACTATCAGCTGTACACACTCAATATGGAGCATCAGCTGTACACATTCAATATGGAACATCATCTGTGTACATTCAATATAGACCATCATCTGTGTACATACAATATAGACCATCAGCTGTGTACATTCAATATGGAGCATCAGCTGTACACACTCAATATGGAACATCATCTGTGTACATTCAATATAGAGCATCAGCCGTTCACATTCTAGATGGAATGTCAGCTGTACACACTTAATACTGGCATATTAGTGTAGAATATGATGTTGACTACTATAATTCCGTAAGATGTAAAATCAAGAATCTACATATGAGATTACAATATATAATATATGTAAACCGAAATCGTCAACACGTTGGGCGTGCAAATTTTTACTAAGATTAACAATGTGCATAATTTGTTTACGATTGGGATGCCTGAAGAATATTCTCACTAAATCATTGTGTAATTTTAATTAACAGGTGATATAGAAGACAATCTGAGCTGTGATTTTAATAGTGGTTTATGTGGCTGGACTCAAGCAAAAGATGACGTTTTTGATTGGGAGTTCATGAGTGGACCAACCTCGACGTTCAACACCGGACCTCAATGCGATTTGTCTGACTGTGCCGGGGGTAAGATACATTATTATTTAACTGATTGATTCGAAGAGCGTAGATTCGGGATTCCTGTAGTAAGTAGGGTAGTTGAAGTTAACCTAAAATCTTCATTGATTCCCTTTAATGTAGCAGCTCATCCAACCAATCATCAATTCAGAAAAAATGCATGTTTTTATAGGTGCAACTAGATCCGTGTTCTCTTCCGCCATTTGTTTTATCATTTATTACAGGACAGTATCTTTATACGGAAGCATCTGCACCAAGACATCAAGGTGATTCAGCTGTTATCCAGTCACCAATGTTAAAGGTGAGCTTGTAAAACTTGTTATTTCTGAAAAGATAAATGACCAATTGATATATATTTCCATTTTGTTATATTCACTCAAATTTAGTATCGTACGTACATAATGTATGATTTCAGAAATGCATGACATATTTCGTAAAAATTATTATTTCTGAGAAGCTTATTGGTTAATTTTTATGAAATTCGATTCCAAATAGTATTCACAAATAGCATGGACTTCAAATGTTTAGTGCTACTTTAAGTCTTATGATTTTTCAAGGGAGGAGCTCAAAGATGTTTATCATTCTCATATCATATGTTTGGAGATTCAATGGGAACATTAAAGGTGTATCTTTCGGAATTTGGAGCCGAGAAGGTGGTATTGTGGTCTCGTTCTGGTGACCACGGCAACGATTGGATAAGGGAGCAATTGGACTATTATCCTAAAACATTGTATCAGGTAATTTCATCAAATCGATGTCTGGGGTTCGCTGTTGCCAGTGGGTTGGACGCTGCTTCGCTAACTTGAGGGTCCAGAAGTATTTTGATCCTGGCACAGGTCAACATAAAACTTTCGGATTTTTTCTGCCGGACAAAGCTTCATGTCTTGCGGACATAACTGAGGCCCCGTATGCTGTGATTTAAAGGTAGAAATCGGAAAGAAAATGCTGTTCTGGAAAAGTTCTCTCATTATAAACTGCATGACTTCTTTAGCCCAAACAGGTGCTCATTTGATCACTGTTATTTTCAGTTGGAATTTGAAGGAACTCGAGGTACAAGCTATAGAAGTGATATGGCCATAGATAGTATAGATGTTACTACAGGAAACTGTGCTGGTTAGTACATCCTGTGGGCTAAAATTATAAATATTATTTACATAGGGTTACAAATCTATTAAAATATGTAATTATTCATTGATTGTCTTTTACTGTTGATAAAACTTCGTCTTCAAATTTAGGATTTTGAAACAGCTATGCGATTCATTGGAATTTTTTTTCTAAATTCTAGCTGAGAAAAGGATATAACATTGAGTTGACTAATAAAATCGTTTCCTCGGAAACATTGACTGAGCTTTTGAAATAATTCGTATTTTTATTTGTTTTTTTTTTTCAGATATTTTGACATTTGACTGTAATTTTGATCAGGATTTCTGTGGTTGGAAGAATATGATAAGTCCTGATGATAAGTTTGATTGGACAAGGAATCGTGGACCAACTGGTACCACTGCAACCGGTCCAACAGCTGACCATACAACCGGTTCGGGTACGTTAATGTTATCAACCACATAAGCAACATTGACAAAGTCTGTTACAAACAGAAAAAAATCACAATAGTAAATACGGGTTTGATTTAATTTCATATATATTTATTCACTTGACTACTATAACGTACATCTGAATTACATTATGGTCAAATATAAGAGCTTTTTCCCGGAACTTAGCGTGGAAGCGAGTAAAGGTGAATTTAATATTTACATTACAAAGTGACAAAACTAATACAGTCATGTACATGTACTCTAGAGAAAAAAGCACCTTAAGATTATTTCTCGCATACGCAGATTTTCCTTGATTTTTTTTCAGGATTTTACATATATATTGAAACATCATTGAGATTCCAAGGAGATTTCGCACGTCTTATTTCACCAACGATAACAGCTAGAAATAGAGGCTATTGCATGGAGTTTTGGTATCATATGTTTGGTACCCATATCAAATCATTGACTGTTTATCAATCGTCTGCCGAGAAAGGGGATCAGAAGTTACTATGGACTGCAAAAAATGATCAAGGTAATTGGTGGAGAAAACACAGTCAATTTATAGACAAAACAGATCAAGATTTCCATGTAAGTAGGCCTAGATATGAATTTCTCTGTAATACGAGCTTAATTTGACAAGAAACCATGTTAACTATATATTAGTAACGTGAAATGTAATTTAGTTGCTGGGTTGAAATAAATTTCTCTGCTGTTGCACTAAGATGATGTTTATACCCGCATAAGTTGAACGTATTGATATAATGTTGATATGAATGTCCATATAAGTTTAAAGAAGATAATGAAAGTATAATTAAGTTAACGTGAACTTTCACTTAAGGTATCCAAATTGTCATTGACATTGAATTACATCCTAGTCTTGTATATATTATACAGATAATATTTGAAGCCGTAGCGGGGGGTTATAGAAGTGATGTAGCTATTGATGATGTCAAAATACGACCTGGACCATGTTTTAGTTATGACAGTGTGGCAGTTCAACAAGGAGGAATTTACAGTAGATATCCAAGCAGAGGCTTTTCTGGACGGTGATAAAATGGATGCGTATTAAGCCTAACTTATTTCATGTCGATTTTGGTTGTGCGTCACTTATTTTTGTGTTACTTTTCGTCTTTCCAATATACTGTATGATTTCTTAGCACTTCAAAAGTAATTCCGCCTCTTTCAAGGATTATTTTAATCTAAGATGAAACCAGGCAAGCTAGGGATGACCATGAGACAACCAATGAATCAATAATGAATTTTATAAAATCAGTCTGATTATTTGACAAATATGATATTTTCAAATATTTGATCCATATTTTCATCCATATTTGGTCGCGTAAAACGATCAATTGTCGGTATGGAATAAGTCGGGCTTAAAAACACTGGAATTATCTTGAAGAGACGTTTTCAAGTTGTTACATTAATATGACCTATTCGCTATTATAATGTCCTGATAATATTACTAGCGATTATATATATATATATTACTTAGACATATTTTACCACCATTTTAAATAGTTTCATCTTGGTTATATAATTTACTTATACAATTAGTACACATCATTATTATCAGTTGCTCATTTCTATCTAAATTTTATAACGGAGATTTAAAGAACGGAAGGCTAAATAACATTATTTAGCTCCCTTGATTTGTTGTTTACCATTAAAATAGGTTTGATCATCACCCACTGTGGTAGGGGTAATTTCAGAACAACTAGATCTGATTATGACGTCACTGTCGCACATACCATTCAAACCAAATAGTAGCTCTTAAATAGTGTCCCCGATTTTTTTACAAGAGGAAACAGTCATTAGATAAATTGTTATCTCTTGACAAAAGTAAACCATTCCAACCTGAAACAGATTATACATACATGTATTTGTATATTCCATAAACAAAACTGGGTGATAAGTTCAGTTAATTTGGGTGTTCATTTAGATTACATTATAAATATTTTATATAATATATTATAAAATTATATTTTTGTACATTTTGTAAATATATGAATAATATGTTAGAATTATGTATTAAACCTTGAATAAACAATAATTTTTAAATGTCACTTTCTTATATTTACGTATTTAAATATTTATGAAAATTTGATAAATGAAAATGATCCTTGAGTTCTTCCTAAACAATAGAGAGAATAAAAACAATCTTGAAAATCTTTTACATTTTGTTTGCCGTCGAAAAACCACGTAGATTAAGTAGTATAAAATGAATTGTTAAATCGTGAAAAATGTATTTGTATTTCGTACTTAAAATGAGTGTGCTGCCATTGTCAAAATTATTTTGGGATTCGTTTTGGATGGAATAAACGCACAAGAGTAGTTATCACATGATATGAAGGAAGCTGAACATATTATATTTTAAAATATTGTATTCGTTTATTTGTTTGAAAATATATCAATAAAAGTATTTTAACAATATGACTTTCTTCTTTCTTAGAAATAATATTGGTCGTGCACCTCGAGCACGCCAATCCAACGACGATTTGCTTTAAATGCAACCAGTATCAATTATCTACTTAAATTCATTAGAAACTGTATTTGAAGCTTTTGATATAGAGAAACTTGGTTCAAATATATTACTTTAAAACTGTTGAAACGTCGATTAAAAAAAGCAGACTGAGTGGCATTTCCATATTATCATATCAGATTCAGTTGCAATTCATAAACATATTTTTAAATTAATAATTAACTGATTGACGTAACCTAGTGAAAATTACTCATGCATACTGTATTAATACATATTTCTATCACAATCATGGTAAAGCATAAACATATAACAATACCTCTTGATATGACGAAACAACAACATATCACATTACCTATTGATATGGTAAAACATAAACATATCACATTACTTATTGATATGGTAAAACATAAACATATCACATTACATATTAATATGGTAAAACATAAACATATCACGTTACCTATTGATATGGTAAAACATAAACATATCACATTACCTATTGATATGGTAAAACATAAACATATCACATTACCTATTGATATGGTAAAACATAAACATATCACATTACCTATTAATATGGTAAAACATAAACATATCACGTTACATATTGATATGGTAAACATAAACATATCACATACTATTGATATGGTAAAACATAAACATATCACGTTATCTCTTGATATGGTAAAACATAAACATATCACATACTCTTGTTATGGTAAAACATAAACATATCACGTTAACTATTGATATGGTAAAACATAAACATATCACATTACCTATTGGTATGGTAAAACATAAACATATCACGTTATCTATTGATATGGTAAATCATAAACATATCACGTTATCTATTGATATGGTAAAACATAAACATATCACATTACCTATTGATATGGTAAAACATAAACATATCACATACTTTTGATATGGTAAAACATAAACATATCACGTTATCTATTGATATGGTAAAACATAAACATATCACATACGATTGATATGGTAAAACATAAACATATCACATTATCTATTGATATGGTAAAACATAAACATATCACTTACTATTGATATGGTAAAACATAAACATATCACATTACCTTTAGACATGGTAAAACATAAACATATCACATTACCTTTAGACATGGTAAAACATAAACATATCACATTATCTTTAGACATGGTAAAACATATCACAATATCTTTTGATGTGGAAAAACATATATTACCTATTGATATGGTAAAACATATCACATTATCTATTGATGTTATACAATGGTGAAAACACATTACATAATCAAACTAACGGTATACAACATTGAAAATAAACTATGTCATTAATGATATTAATGATATTCTCAGCAAAAAACAAGTCATATTTATCCATATTAATATATTATCCCTTATCCATTTGATATATTACATCAAGTATATCACATTTCTAGTGAAGAAAAGAACATCGGCGATATAATGATAAAACTTATCTAGTTAATGGTTGGCTTTCGATCTGATTCTATGGAAAAAGATAATCAAGACTTACCATTTCGTACGTACAGTTTTGATATTTCATCAACATTGTAAAATACAATAAAGACAATTGTGGTGGAACAGTGGTATAAAGAAGATACATAACAAGACCGTCTGGTGATAAGACATGAGTGATGACTATCCTTCCTAACCTTCGAAATACTCAAGTAAACATAACAAACTACTAAAGATGTAAATGTTAAGTTCACGTAACATTTGGAAATGTTAGTTATTTGACAATATGTACAGGTATATATAGCTGTTTTCATGCATCCCTGTACCTATTTACATGTATTTGAACTTATCTAAGTGACTAAGATCCCAAAGGCTTTCTACAATGTAGACGCCTTCGATTTGACATTTCCATACGCAGTTTAATATCTGAAGTCGGAAACAGAAATAATAGGATGCAGATCGTTCTAAATTGTCATCATTATCATCAATATCATCTACTTCTTGGTCATGATTTTCTTTCCCATCTTCTGACTGTTATTAATTTTCCCCGACCACTTTGTGTTGAGAAGATGCGCATCAAGTACTCTTTCATTTCATATGCCGAAACAATATTTTTAAATAAGCTTTAACTCTTTCCTAGGCTTACCCTAATCGATTTTTCAAAAAAATGTTAACCCCGACCTTAACCCTAAAGTTAACCCCAACCTTTATCCAAGGGTTAACCCCACAGTAATCATGGGTCTCCATGGCCTAGTGGTTTTCGCAATTGTTCGGCAACTTTGAGGTCCTGGCTTCGTGTCTCACTTGGAGCTTTTTTTCAAATTCTTTTTTTGCAAAGTCAAACACTGTCTTTTCTATCATTTTAAGTATATAAAAGAGGTCTGTGAAATCTGGAATGGCCTAACCATAGCTAACCCTAATTGTTTTGTCCACATAAAAAATTCCACCTTAGCACAGATAGCAGCTAAAAACAGACTTTATGCCAAAGTACCTCCAGGTTGAAGAAGTGCTCCATGTTTGTCCAGTAGATGTAAAACATGTCCCTTTATATCAGAAACTCATTATTTTGTAAGCAACTCTACGAATAAAAGGTACCCGATCCAGGAACATCTAACATGTGAACATTCGAATGTAATATATTTAATTTCATGCAAGAAATGCCCCAAACAATATGTTGGAGAAACTAAGAATAATTTACGAACTCGCTTTAATGCTCATAGATCAGACATCAAATTAAAGAAAGACAAGCCTGTTTCTAATCATTTCAACCTCGACGACCATTCAATAGACGATCTCGCCCTAATCCCAATTGAGCGTATAGAAATTGACTTGCCCGAAGATGAAACTACCAAATTCCGTCAATCTGGGGAAGCCAATTGGATTGAGACATTGAATACAGCAAGACCTATAGGACTAAATATTCATCATAATGTAGGCATAGCACCCTTTGTTGTCCCGTTTAATACAACCAGCAATCGAGCAAGCAAGATAGTTCATGCCCACTATAAGAGCCTTCAAGAGAAATTCCCCAATGTCTATAAGCAGAAAATGATAGTTGCATATTCAAAACATAAGAACTTAAATGATAATATTGTTCATAGTAAACTAAAAACAATCAGCACATAACAGCCACTATATTTATTTTTTCTAATTTCAAATCAGAATAAGAACAGAAGAAAACCCAATATCAAGACCCTTAATCCTAATTTCTAAATAAAGTGTCTGCTCCACCCTAGGCCTGTACATTTGGGAGAATCAAACCCTCCCTTCCCCGAAACCTAATTGTTTTTGTCACATTTGACCCATTTGGAGCCGCTGAGATATCAATTTTTTCTGGCCGATTTAAACCCCTGCGTTATTTTTTTTTTCATGTCATTTTGTGTTGAAAGGATGCGCTCTTTCATTTCATATGTAGAAACCATATCTTTGAACATACATACTGAGCTGACCCTCATTGGTTTTTCAAAAAAATGTTTACCCTCAAATTAACCTTGGGGTTAACCCCACACTAACTCTGGGTCTCCTTAGCTTATTGATTTTCGCACTTGTTCGGAAACTTTGATGTCCTGGGTTCGCATCCCAGTTGGAGCATTTTTTAAAATTATTTTTTTGCTTAGTCAAACACTGTTTTCTATCATTTTTAGTATACAAAGAGGGTTTCCGAACGTTGACGATGAAATATTAATTGTTTGAACATTTAATGAAAACTTATCCAGGACGTTTCACAAGATTAATATTTGATAGCTTTGAAGACAAATATTTTACCTAAACACGTATTCAATCGACAAAGCATTAAGTCGGAAATGAAGCTAAAAAATATTTCATTGGAACTTTGTTACTGATTAGCCTGTAGCCTAACTAGAGAGAACCAGAACCCAGTTTCTTAACGGAATCTTAACTAGATTAGAAGTTGGATGGACAAAAAATTTTCACACTTTATTTCATTTTTATAGGAAGAGAACCTGGGAAATCAGGCTAATTAGCTTCAATTTTTTTAAAGATGCGGTTGCTAACTTCCGGTTTGAACGACATGGTTAAGGTCAAGGACAAGGACGATTTGACTAAAATGTCATCATCACTTTATAGAACTGTCTCTGGACTACCAAGGTTATTTCGAAAGAAACCATGTCTATCTTTGAATCAAAGGCATATATTTACGGGAAGTTGTATTGATGGTAAATTTTGCAATTTTCATAGGATTGATAACTTAAGATTAAGTATTAAAGATACATGGTTTGAAATGGGAACGAATAGATACCAAATCGTACTTATGTCAAATCGCCCCGTGGTAGGCCTATGTATAATCCGACCAACACATTTCAAGGCAAACTGTGCAGGTTATTTAAGTACTGAAAAGTGATTTAGAAGCATATAGAATAAGACTATAATTGAATTTGCTATTACAGATATGCATGTATTATTAGGATTGTGGAGTGAATTGAAATAAAGTAAATTTCCACACCTGGTTAATGATTCAGTGGGCAGTAAGTGAAATTTTTCCATGTCAGATTTCAACATTTAATATTCAAAATATACAGATAGTATATTTTATATTTCTTTAAAGCAAGTGATGGCTTACATGATGACCAAGTCCAGATACAACAAATGGCAAGAAATTTTGCTGATAATGAAATGGCACCTAAAATGAAAGAATGGGATCAAGAGGTAAGCATCGCAGGCATAAACAACAATATTATGACTATTTTATCCTGTTTGCATCAGTTTTAAAAAGTTTTAAAGTTATTTTTGATTTAGTTTTTATCAGCATTGATTTTGTTTTGTCAAGGAAACAGAATATTAAGTCAATTTGTATGAGAGGGGGACTGTGTGAAATATTACATATATTGTGTTATTTTGATTTTTCAATTAATTTCATAGATTTTATCATTCAAGATCAATGATTTTCTGTCTATTACAGGAATATTTTCCAAGGGATGTATTTAAGAAAGCAGGAGAATTAGGATTTGGTGCTGTATATTGTAGAGAGAAATATGGTGGTACAGGACTCAAGAGATTAGATGCCTCTGTTATATTTGAAGCATTAGCAACTGGTTGTGTGAGCACTACAGCCTATATTAGTATTCATAAGTATGATTGCAACTATAATGTTAGAAATATTATGTGACAATTTTAAGGTTTTATTAAACTCATATTTCCTTCATTGCATTCTGTATTCATGACCCATCAATCACATTATATAAATATATGATCTATGACTCAACTTTAGTTTGACTTGGAGTACATCATAATGTTATATTGTCCTCTTATAAGAGAGATGAAAGTTAAGGCAAGGCATGTTTAAGCCCTCTATATATATATATATATGTTTGAGTCCACATAGCTAATATTGTTTTATTTTAGTATGTGTGGCTGGATGGTTGATGAATTTGGTAGTGATTCTTTACGTGAAAAATGGATACCTAAATTAGCATCCATGGAAACATGTGCATCATACTGCCTAACAGAGCCTGGTAGGGTTCTTATAACATGTAATATATTGAAATATAATTGAAAGCACATATTACAGAGCTGAAATAGCTAAAAAAATCGGCAATTCATGTATAAATTTGTAATGAAGTAATATTTCATATAAATAGGCTTCATGTTACATGATACTAGATTATTTATCCTCTTGAACATTCATTTATTTCATATTTGACCATGTTTTAGACGTAATAAAAACATATTGGTAAACCAAGAATGATTGAATAGAATAAGGAAGTTTCATCTGAACTATACAAATATAGAACACACTATTTAACATGCAACCTACTTAATATTTTGTGTGTTAAACCTATGAATCTTTATTAATAATTGATAATAATATTGTTATTATTTAAGGTGCTGGTAGTGATGCAGCTTCTTTAATTACATCGGCCAAGAAGGATGGTGATCATTATGTTTTAAATGGTGAAAAGGTATGCTAACACAACAACCATCTTTATAATTTTTATATAATATATATTTTCATGTATTGAGATTTCTTTTCGTGTAATATGTGGTCCTGGATTCAATTGATTTCAGAATACCAACTATTGGAATGATACAAATAGAATATAATATATATATATATATACTCATTAAAAGACTAGAATATCTGTCTTGGAAACATCTAAAACAGAATCAGGACACTTAATAAATCCATAGAACTATGAAGCTATGATCCTGTTTCACTTATTGTTTATTGGTTTATTTTTTTAATTTTTTTTTTTAGTTTGGACAGTCTTGGTGTATCTGGACCAGTGAACCTTGTTAAGGCTCATCCAACTATTACAACCATCTATTTGAAGATCAATCTATACCATACCCCTCTAACTATATGATTTATTTCTATAGGTATTTATAAGTGGTGCCGGCGCTACTGATGTATATATAGTTATGTGTAGAACTGGTGGGGAGGGAGCCAAAGGAATCTCATGTTTTTTAATTGAAAAAGATACTCCTGGTTTGTCATTTGGTAAAAAAGAAAAGAAGGTGAGAAAAACTTAAATTCAATTCAATAATTTCAAGATTGGAATCTAATGGAACTCTCCTTGTTGTGATTGTTGTGAATATTTTTCCTAGGACATAATAATCACAACACTTTGTAATAGCATCTACAAATATCACATTTTTCAGGTGGGCTGGAATTCTCATCCAATAAGAGCTGTCATATTTGAAGATTGTAAAGTGCCAGTTTCTAATAGAATTGGTGAAGAGGGGGAAGGTTTTACTATAGCAATGAGAGGTTTAAATGGTGGACGAATAAATGTAGGTATGTACTTTTCACTCAGGTTTGTTATTATAAAGTATATGTAAAAATCTTTCAATTTTTTTATTTTTAGGTTTGAAATGCCTAAAAATATTTATGCAAAATAAAATGCTTTGAGTTTGGGTAAGTCTATAAGTTTAGTATCATGAGAATACCCTGTTTTTCTTTTAAAAAATACTATCTGCTTTTCCCATCATTCCATAAAATTCAGTAATTTAGGTGGTATAATCTTTTCATATTGGGAGAGTAAGATAACATGTAATATTTGTAAGACCAATTTCCTGGATTCCTTTCATGTAATTATTTTATTAAAGCATCCTGTTCACTTGGTGGTGCCCATGCTAGTATGGAACATGTCAGAAATCATTTTAAAGTCAGGAAACAATTCGGCCAAACTTTAGAGAACTTCCAGGTAATTTATCATTTGCTTTGTCTCACAGTAGTAAATTTTAGCAATTTAGTTGACAATAGTTAGCCTTGCAGCTTTTGATCTATCAATACTTAAAAGATTTCCACCTCTTGATTTATATACCGGTAAAGGGGATTTTATTTTAACATTTTTATATTGTTCAGAGTTCAAGTTGATCTGCTGTTAAGGTGCAAAAAATTATCAAAATCAACAATTTTCTTTACAGTATTTACAGTTTATGTTTGCTGATATGGCAGCAGCTCTACTAGCTTCTAGATTATTAGTTAGGAATGCTGCTGAAGCTTTAGACAATACTGCTCCTAATGCTGTTCCTTTGTGTTCTATGGCTAAATTATTCGCAACAGAAGAATGTTTTAAAGTGAGTTTGTATTTTTGCATGGTTCTAGTTATTGATACAAAGATGTAGAAAATTCACTTGTTTTTCCCTATAGCCTTCTGGTCATGGATGGGTATTGATTTTGTAAAAGTAATATGTTATATTATTGATATTATATAGATTTGTAATCAAGCTCTACAGATGTTTGGTGGTTATGGCTATTTAAAGGAATATCCTGTACAACAATATTTTAGAGATAGCAGAGTACATTGTATTTTAGAGGGTAAGTCTCTGATTATAATATAAATCTGGGTGTGTCGTTTCTGTGGGTGAACTATAGAAGTGACATTAACCACTAAGATCTTCATTTAAATCAAACTTCTGTTCATCAACCATTTTATTATGCTATATTTACTAGAGCAACTTAAAGAAATAAACTAAATGGCTTTGTTTAGAATGGTCATATTAAAAGCTTCACTTCACTGATATAACTCTGCAAATCACTGTGTCAATATGGCATTGTTTCAGTTTGCAGAGTAACCATAAGTAAGTCAAAGGAATATATCTTTAGATGTAAATGTTATTTTGTAGGTACCAATGAAATGATGAGATTATTAGTTTCAAGAGATATATTGAAAGAAAGATAACTCTTCCACTACAGTCCACAGTGGTGTGCTTCTTACTCAGGTGATAGAAATGAACCCAGTGATTTAAAAAAAAAAAAAACCAAAAAAATCTGTCTGACCAGAAATATTTTGTCAGTGAATCAAAACTTATCATATCTCAGTGTAAATATATTGTAGATATAAGAAACACTTTTTTCTATCAAGGCATTTTCTGACATTTATAATGTATTGTTTTACAAGAAACATTTTATCAAGAATTTAAATGTGATGCATATTATAGTGTTTTAATATCAATCGTATTGAATGATTTAAGTTGGTGTTTTGTATTGTTGTGAATTTTTATTCATCTTCATAATGTCAAGATATAAGGCCTACAAACCCTGTCTAATACTTTGATATCTTAAAGATACTTTTCTTGTATCATGCTAGTTAGTTAATGCAGAAATTTGATAGTATGCTAGACAAAAACAGCCTATTAACTAGCAGCATACAAAAATTGCCTAATTATGTCAAGGTGGTGTTTACCCAGAGCCTCTGGTGTTTTTATTGGTGTTCATTCAACACCTTTATCATAAGCCCACATCATTATTGTAGCCGCTTTAGTTTTTAAAATAAAACAAACCAAATACATAATATATATTTTATTTATTAAGATTTGTATGTTTAAAACCATTTTGAAAACATTGTAACCAATTATCTTTATATAATATTATGATAGGACAGTATACATGGCAAGGCATGCAAGTATATTTGAAGACACCTGCAGGACAATAACTTAAATTTGTCACTTTAACTGAAGTCAGATGGTGGTGATAGTCTTGCATGGTCCATTTGGTTACCCTGGGGTAGGAAGTATATTGATTTGGCAGGGCAATTAAAATTTAAATAATTTGTATACAGTTCTAATTAATGTATAAAATAGATACCCAAACGTCCGTTTCCAAATCCAGAAGTAAATATTATCTTTATTCTCAGATTAATTAATAGACAATAAAGAGACAGGTGGAATGTCAGAACAACACAATGGAGATAATTATCCTGATGCAATACTGTGATCAAGTGATGTAACCATAGTAACCAATAATAAAAATAAACAACAACATTGGCAGAAGAAACCCAACAAGTAAATTGAATAATTTTAATAAAACCTTGCAAAAGTTAAAGTAAAATGAAATATGAAAAATAAAATGTCAAGCTTAATCCAATACTTTGATAAAGATCTTCCACTTTTTTCAATTTTTTTTGAAACAGCAATACAATTTTTTTGGGGATTACAAGACAAATGATTTAAAAAAAACTCCTCCCAAGACAATTCCTGAAGACCATACAAGACCCAAAGACTGAACTCCTTTAAAAAATTGCATTAGACTGGACATTGTTTATATACATATATACTGGTATATTTTATAATAATTTAGACAATAATGTATTAAAATGCATAAGGCATGATTTTAAAGTGTGATTCTATACTGTGAATGTTTTCTAATATAAATTGCAATTTTTTTTCTATATATCCATAATGTGATAGGAAAGTGTCATTCTATTCTTATCCAAAATGTGATTATAAAATGTGTGATTATATTCCTTATGATGAAGTCTCAGATTGTAAGAAATGGGTACTGTAAATAATGCATTTTGTGTTTGAAAATAAGAAATGTCACATATTGTTCATTTGAGGACAAAAATATGTTAAAACAAGAAAAATGATCAGAAGATTTCATAATAGAACTTTCGATAATATAAAACACTAAAGATTGTAAAATTAACAAAAACAACAGCTCTTAAGTTTGTTATTCTAGTGTTAAGACATACTGGATAAAATTTGGCAGAAAAATTCAATTCTAATTCCACAACTTGAAGTGTCCTTTACATTATAGACTCTGTGATCTCAAAAATGAATTTAAGTCATAAATCCTGTCATGGAAAAGTCAAGTTCATATAAGATTAGTCATTTTTAATGTGAAACATCTAAAAACAAGTCAACAATAATTTAATGAGCAGCAACCTTAGGTATAAACAAAAACAAACGTAACAAAATACATAATTAACAACCAAAAGTTAAAAAAAAAATCAGCCTATAAGAGATACAAACCCACAAATATCATTTTTATATAACACCATTTATAATCGCACTTTGTCAGGATTTTGTTCAAACCAATTACAGGTTTCCTTGATTGCTGAAATTATGAATCAATATTGAATATATTATGTATTTGAATAGAGATTGAAAGCATGATGGTGCAGTCTCAAAAGCTGTCTTTTCAGTTTGATGGTTGTCTCTCTCAAGTTTTAAAAAGGTTGTTTTTGAAGCTCACGAGTTTGTCTTTCAAGTATAAGAGACTCTTAAATGTACTTCAAAGCTAGTACTCAAAATCTAAAGATATTCTCTCACTTCAGTCTAAGAGGATGTCTCAGTATCAAGACAACAGAAAGATAACCTCAGAGGTTGTTTATCATAAGTTTTCAAGTCTCGGGGGTTGTCAAAAAATGTATTTCAAATCAGTGAGTGTCAAGTTCCCTGTACTGTGGAAATGTTGTTGATTTTACCTTGTTTAATAGGGGTAAATTTAAAATCGGGCAAATATTTCCTTAGTTTAGCATTACTGGCTGTTTTCTTGAATTGACCGTCAGATTTTTCAGTATCATACTAATGACAAGTTAAGGTTACTTAAACTATATACCAGTACTTATGAAATCTATGATAATTAAATTTGACTAGTGAACACAAGAAAATCACAATGTTTTAGTATGAAAAATGAGATGGTATGATACATCAGCGCTGTTGATGATTTTACCTTCAAATCTTCATATCTTGTTATAACAGTTGCCTGTGCAAATGTGTTGCATTGATAATTGATAACTTGTTTATTTCCAACCCCTTTGGCCTTATCACAATGAAAGGTGATTAGACACTATAGGTTAGAGGAACTTAACATGTGGATAGAGAAAAAAAAGAAAAAATAGGTAGAATTGGGCATCCCATCATTAGAGCAGTGGACAACATGCTATGTGTGGATATGGATCTGGACGGATAATTGTGATTTACCAAATCTTTATATTTTACGATTATATCAAAAGGATACTTTGACTTCCCCTTTAAAGTCCATGGCTTCCACAACCAGTTCAGCAGCTTCTCTAATAGATACCTCATCTTCCTCTCCAACTAAATATAACAAGAATTATCATCAACAGCAATATTTGAGACATGTTTTTGAGCGTATTTTTTTACTAAAGGTTTTTCTGATCAAAGAATGTTATAACTGTTTCAGAGATGAAACAATTCACTTTCATGATGTTGTATGGGAATTAGGAATGGTACAAGCCATCCTCAAAAAACCATGATAAGGGTGTGGACAGACATCCCTGAATATAATTTGAAATAAAAAATGTATTACCTGACAAGATTATTGGATCAATTTCATTATATTCTCTCAGTACCCATAAAAACAATCTAGCTAAATCTAGAGAATATATAAATTGTCTTCTAGGAGAGCCTGTTCCCCACACCACAAATGGAGTGCTATTTTCTATAAAAAAATTCAAATAAAACATGTCTATACTCTAAAATATGCTGGAACTCTCCTTGTTGTAGAGGTTGTCCAACCTCAATGCCATTCAACTTCTTTCATTTATTTTACAATAGATGGATGTCTAACATGACATACAGAAGGCAAATATAAACATTGACATTGATATGATTTATGCAAACCACTAATTGATGTTTGATAACAAACTACGCAGAATTTCAAAAGTATTGACAATGCTTTAACTGAACACAGTATTTGGTTGAAATTTTGGGTGTCCCAAGATGTAATTGAAAGAAAGCAAGACATTTTTTAAGCATCATTAGGGTAGGAAAATAAGATTTCAGAATGCCAGAATTTAAAACTCAAACTTACTTTTAGCTGTGTGAACCTTGTTTATGAGACCAGGTAAAACGTGGCCATCTTCTAAGTTAAAGTTGTCATAAGGACCAAATACATTAGTTGGAATGACTGAAGTAAAGTTACATCCATGCTGGGTGTGATAACCACGGTTCTGTACATCTATCATTCTTTTGGCAAATGAATAGCCAAAATTACTGCTATGAGGTGGACCATTATGTACCTATAATAAAAACATGAAGAAAGATATGTTGACATTTAAAATATAATACACTTCATTATTAAAGGGATGTAGTCATCTAGGTATTTGTTTTGCCAGATAAATCTATAACTTAGCTCAGAGTTATGTCCGGTGAAAGCATTGCTTGATTATATTTTAGCAATGTGTTATTTTACTGGTGCACTGTTTTCATTTCTTGATCATAAACCAGTTTCTCTGTCTTTTTTTCACCAAACATTTCAATTATTCCCTTAGTTGGGGTGGGTATGATGTTGGCCATTACAAAGGTCTGATAGGCAGTGCAACATACGCAGCAATTAAAGGATACAGTCAAACAGAAATTCAGAAATTATGCAGATGGGAATCCAAGGCCTTTCGTAAATACATTTGTATTCAATCCATTAATATATATAAGATTCATAATTATATAGGAGCAAGATTTTTGTTTGTGGAAAGTATATTACAAACTACTTTTCACCTTAAAGCCTAGTAGAGTAGAGTATGCAAGTGCTACTCTATAATACTTTAAATTTAGTTACAAGTTTGTTGCCTTGTCCCTTCTTCCTGTTAAAAACTGTGTATGACTTATAATGTTATGCAATGGGGGGATTTCCAATCACACAGAATGCCTTGATATTTATGGTTCTGTGTGATTTCCAATTGTGGCGGGTTGGAACCACCCTCCCTGCCCTGATCACATTATTTTGCAATATTGTTATGTGTTTATTAATTTATAGATGTTATATAAATATTACTTCTTTTTAACAATCATGATACATTATGGGTTTCAGGTTGAAACCACCATTGTTTTGATATTTATATCAATTATTCGTTTTTACATATGTTTTGTTAAAGTTAAGTATGTTATTATTTTTATATGTTTTTATTATGTATTCATGATCGTTACTTCATTCAAATAAATGGCCTTAAAGAGAAATGCAGGCAAATTCAACTTCTGTTCTTCTGATTAGGCTATTGAAGAGATACAAAGCCATGCAGTGTGCATTACAGCAAATTTTGGTATCAGTCTAAAAGTTTACTCTTATTTGATTTTCAAACGTAAAGGAAACTTTTATAGCACAAGCCCTCCAAGCATTTTCACAGACAGGTCAAAATGTGATCAAAAATCCCTTTGTCCATCATCCACATATCTGAAAGTTCTATTGGTTTAGAGACAAGAATTGATGATGAGCATAAACATGATTTTGACAATGTTAATCACACATCACACTGTTTATCACACATGTACCTAATACATGACATTGGTCATCAGATTTGACTGTGGTCAAATCACAAAAATAACACTTACCATTGTTTCATCAATAGGATATGTTGTTTTATCAGGAAATATACAGGTTGATAAACATGATACAACTTTCTTCACACCAGTTTCATAACTTGTATGTAATACATTATCATTGATAATAGAATTTACTCTCTATAACATACAAACATTAAAAGGTTGATATCATTTTATTCAACTGGTTAATATCACTTTATTAAAAGGACTGATATCACAATATTAATTGGGCTGATATCACTATGTTTATAGGACTCATATCACATTAATCACAGGCTGATATCACTATATTCAACTGTGTGATATCACTATATTCAACTGATTGAAATCACTTTATTCAATTGATTGATATGGCTTTAAATCATTGGGTGATAACATCTCATCTCATTGTATATCTGCTGATATCACTATATTCAATTGATTTATATTGCTTTAATTAATTGGGTGATATTATTTTATCTGGTCTGATATCACTATATTCAATTGGCTGATAGCATTATATTTAAAGGGCTATATTCAAAGGGCTGATATCACCTTATTCAAAGGGATGATATCACTTCATTCAAATATTTGATATGACTATTCAACCAAGGCAAAGAATAAAACAATATTCAAACTTACAAAAAAATCTAAATTGTACTTCAGATTTCGAAATAAGCCCCCCACAAAAGCTGCTAAATGTATGACATGAGTTGGTTTATGTTTTGCAAACATCGCCTTGGTGGCATCTCGATCACTGAAAAAACAATATTGATGTTTATATTTTATGGTTATTTTTGACTTTATTGTAAATAGTCAACAGCTGACAAAAATAATTAATTAATAAAAGTCACAAATTGACAAGAGTGGAAAAATAATTAAAGCCTGTAGTCGAAACTTTTTTGAGGATGACTGAGATTGATTTCTACAATTCACTTTTTGAAAATAAATTTCTTAGATTTTCTGAAAGCAGACAAGATATAGCTTTATTTAGATCATTTAAATTACATATATCATTATCTTTCCAATGACAAATAACTCTTCCATACTTACGTCAAATCTGCATCTTTGGAAGAAACAAATATCCACTTTTCATCATCTCTTTTTTCATCTTGCACAACTCTTTCAATGGCTTTACCAACCAATCCACTTCCTCCTGTGACTAAAATAACCTTTTGATCTGCTGCCATCCTAATTTGACCGTCTGCAATAATAGTAAGAACAATCAAACTTATGTCTACTGTATTTGCTTGCTGAGTCAGCAGTAGAGTATGAAACATGGAAGTGATGTGTATTTTAATTCAAATTTATTTTTCTACTTGTTATGGATGATTGGTCAGATAAATATCCCTAGTTCTATCAGCTAACATTGTACTCACATTAATTTTTAGAGTAGAAGATCTTGTAAAAATTATCTAATCTATAGATCTAGATGGTGATTAAAGCTGTTACATAATGTACACACATACTGCATGGACACAGCTTGTATTGTTGTCACATGTTAACATAAATGAGAGGAGGACTTTATAGTTGAATGATAAAATTTGGATTATACAATATATTGTTTTAAAAAGATTAAATAACTGGAATAGTAAAAATATTTCTCTATCAAATTGGTGAGAAAAACAACACAGTATTCCTCATCACTGATTACAAAATTAATGTCCTTTCATCATAAATATAAACTTGTGCATTTATATATTCTGTTGAAAATGCAAAAAACCAGTAAAAAAAATATCAATGAAAATTTTTGATAGGGTCGAATATAATTTAATTTCCCATACATGTTGTAAAGTCAGTCAGCAATTCAGTCAGTGATTTAACATCATTGATTAAAAATCTGGGCAACACCCATTCAACATGGGAAATAATGTGAATTAAGATCAATTTAAAAACTTAAATACATATTAATAACTTACACACTTATGGAAAACTATGAGGTCATTTTCATAGCCTTATACAGAATTATTTTGATAAGTTGTAAAATAAATTTATCTTTTCATTGATAAGAGGGTGTGGTTTTAATAACAATGGAATAACTATTTCTAGTAACATTAAGATTTGCAAGAAAGATTTTTTTAAGAATACTACCTAATGATACCTTACTACCTAATGATACCTTACTACCTAATGATACCTAATGATACCTTACTACCTAATGATACCTTACTACCTAATGATACCTGTATGATTAGCTAAAATTATTAATTATTGCAACAGTTTAACACTAATAATAAATTTTTAGTAATAAATGTCATGTCTTTAGGATGGGACAATACACCCCCCCATCCGCCCCCCTTTTAGAAGAATTTCCCTCATAGCTCACTGCATAAAATTGGCTGTCTTCATTCTCTCAATTAGGCGCAGAAAAATAGGCCTAAAAACTCCATTCATTACATTCAAAGATATCTTTTCATGCAGAACAGGTTAGTGAATACATGGTATAAACAGTATTTATTTCAAAACACAAAAATGCATACTTGAATAAAAGACATAAAAATAATTGTCAAGCTTCGTCAAAATATATTACAAATTTAATCAATAAATTCATACTAGTATGTCTAACACATTTTGGTTGAAGTTTGGTCAATTGATGTCCCGAAAAAATTAATAATAGGGCCATATGATTGCAAACTATTCTACATTACTAAAATCAAAAAACAAGAAAATTCATTGACATTTAAACATTAACAATGGAAATGTGATTCGTTAATTATTGACGATCATCAATCTGGAAATTCAGAGTAAATATTGATTAAATTACATATTGATTATTTCACCTCATATAAACCTTAATTACACTTGTAAGTAAGATGTTGTCTTAGAAGTTAGATAGAGCAGGTGCCACTTAACAGAAATTAATCACTTAATAGGCTAAATATTGAGATGTCTGTAAATGTAATACATGCTAAAAAATATTTTTTAAACATTTATAACCTTGTATTTGTTACCAAAAAAAATAATATCAATACAGAAGTCGAAATTTTCTCCCTTTTTGACATTTTGATCAAGTTTTATTTCAATATTATGTATTTTCGTCCTTAGTCGCACCCACTGGCGATACCATTGGCAAACAATGAAAAAAAAACGACACAAAATGCACATCAATGATAACCATGAATTACACACTTTTATAATAAGTTTTACCTTCCTATCAGCTTTCAATTTTCTGTTTGCAAGTCTGTATTTTTACTGACAAGTAGATCAAACTCGCTTTATCGCACAAATCGACTCGTAAAGAAGAATTTTTCAATAATGCCACGTGACCCACCAGCTTAACAGGTATGGAAGCCTGTTGCGGCCACATAAATTAGCATTCATTCATTGGTCTATAATATTTAGTAGGTTTACTTTTTGTTTGAAGGCAATTTTGTTAAGACACTTCCGCATATAAGCCTACACTATTTCCAGGTATTTTTTTTATCAGAAGAAGAAACTAACATTCTCTCATGTAAATTGATAGCTATGGATAGGCTTGATTAAATAAGGAGCGATTATTGTTTTCGTATTTAAGTTATTGACAGGGAATTTATCAATAATTGTTATATTGAACAATTTCACAACAACCTAGATAACACTCCAACCATACGATGGCTCACATAGGCCTACGACATTTTACAATTTTTATTTTGAATTAAAACCTTTAATTTTCACCTAGGTGATAATGATTTTCACCCAGGTGATAATGATTTTCACCCAGGTGCAAGTTAGGTGATAATTCCTATAATATTTAACCAAAAAACTTTTATTTTCACCTAGGTGAAAAAAATTTTCAAGGTGATAATTCAAGAATATTGAATTAAAAACCTTTTTTCGCCGTATTTGTTGAATTAGGACCTAGGAGGAAATTAAAGTTTTTGATTAAAAATTACACAAATTATCACCTAATTTTCAAGGTGAAAATTAAAGTCTTTAATTCAAAATTAAAAGTGAAATATGTGAGCCACCGTACAATAACCATTAAAATATTATTGAAACGGGCGACTCGTCGTTTTAACTTTTAAACGCGGATAATTCGGCTCAAATTTAGAGGGTGAGCTATGAACACGTGCTATTACTGATTGGCTTAGTTTAAGGTATGAGGCTAAGGTAATCAATATACAGTCATCTAAATGGTAAAAGCCCATTTCAGCTGATCTGACATCAGAAACTGATTGGAACAACAGGCTGGCAAAATTTTTTTGTACACTATTCCATTTCTTTCCTCTCAGTTTTATTGAAGGATAACAATCACAAATTCATTATAGATAGATTAAATCCAGCTAGACTTAACTATTCATTACGCTGATATTTCCATTATTCATCCTATTGATTTATTTAGATCCGGTTGACTATACTACCATTGATCTGGTGAATGAGAAATAGGGGCTATTCATTACGAAATACCCTCGATCCGACATGATTTCAATTGTGTAAGAAAATTTCTACTAAAAACTCACAATACATGGGCTTATCTTGAAAATATTCGAAGCCCCTTGAGGCCGGCGTCTGCCAGGGGCCCCTTGAAGCAAACGCATGCTTGAGAGATGTCCTCAGATGAATTTCGAGCTTTTCACTTCAAAATAAAGCCTTAATATTTCTATAGATATATTAAATAAAATAATAGGTTACAAAAAATTACAAATTAGTTTTACATGTATATACAAATATATGTCTAATTATTCAATGTACACTTGTAGCTTCATCACGTTCAAAACTTGGTCTGTGTAATCCATGTGGTATAGGCGGTCTGTCATCAGAATATGATGTGTCATCATCGTATGCATAAGAACTTAATCTTGATTTTGGCACTGTCTGTTCAGGAACAATAGTTGGCAAGAGGGAATCAACTGTTATACGCCTTGGCAAAGCTCTGATGTCTACACCAGCACTCTGATCGCGAACTGTAACGTTCGTTGGTGTAACAAGTCTCTCTTCGGATCTGATGACATTGGATTTTGGGTTGTAACCAGGAAAGCGAAATCGTCTTTCAGTTTCCTCTCTCTTTCGTTTTCTTGTGCACTACAATAAACAAGGCCTTCAGTTCAATCATCAGTCAAAGATTATCTATATCGCTGAGCTTACCAACGACCTTAACAAACCGAACGTCGAGATCCACACTTATAAGTACAAATGACTATCTGAACCAAGTTGATAAATATAAAAGCCAGTAATATTAATGGCTCGACAAAAATTCCCCAAAACTTGCCACCCCAAAATGGGAATAACAATGTACAATGATATCACATCTGTATATCACATCTGGAGAACTTTGAAGGGTAAAAGTCGGTATATCAGATCGTTATTAAAAGCGCAATGGTTATATTCAGATAGATTACGAATACAGAAAAATATACTTCACAGCACTTACTGCTAACCATATTATTATTGATATAAGAGTCAAAATAAATAACAGAGCTATACCAATCAATGCAACTTCCCAATTGACTAAACCTGGAAGAATTTCTGAAGAAAAAAGCAACATGTATTGTAACATCATTTCATACTTATTCATAGTATTTTTAGGCATGGCTACATCATGGTTAGGCTACAAATACTTGCAAGTGGCAAGAGCATTTAATACAAAAAAGTCAGGCTTCTAATGACACGTTTATATCCATTCAGTGTTCAGTTCTTTTCAGTCTGTTCACTGATTTTCATTCAGGGTGTCAAATTCAATTTATTAACAGTAGGTTGCAGGCGACTAAATCAATTCAAAAGTAACGTAGTAGCACAAAAGCAATAGATGCTAACCATGAATGAAATCCAATATCTTAAAATTTATCGAGCGGACCTTGTACAACATAAAGCATACCAACCTTCATTTACATCCGCATTGCTTGATGTTGTAGTAGCCATTTTATTGTCTGAGCACTTATTTATTGTTTCATATACAGGTAGTTTCCCACTACATATTAACACTACATCAGTAGAATGATCGGAAGCTAGAAATAAATTTGAAATGACAGAAAAAAAATAAAGTTAAAAGTTGTGGTTTAACTTTTGATTTCAATTAAGAACTGAAATCTTTCGGGTTTAATATTCTTCAAGATTATCCACATCTATTCGACAAATTTCGAGGACATAAAGTGTTTTTCAGACGGCAAACTTTCACTGGTCCGACTCGCACCATGTTTGTGGTTCATCCAGGATGCAATAGACTGACATCGACAAGTTACCATTGACTTATGTTACTCCGTAACATTACAATTTGATAAAAGTGAAAAATTATCAAGGGTCTGGGGATGTAGAGGAATGGCTACAGGCAAAGCTTTTGGTTTATATGCTAGCGTTGAAATAAAAAAACACTGATTTCCTTTTCCTGTATACCATCATTGACTATAGAATCTATGAAATAAAGTCACTAAAACTTGTAGGTATCATTGCTCTTATGAGACGACATGGCCTGATTCGTTACACGGGGATAAACAGAAATGTACTCACAAATAAACTGCAACCATGGTTTTTCAGTATCAACTTCAGCTTCTTCATACAACAGTAACACACTGGATCGTGTATCTACATCAGTATTGTTAAATTTACATGGGTACCAACTCTGTCCTTCGTCATTCAGGATGGTCAGATTGAATGGACACTGTGTATTGCCAATGACACTAATGATGATACTGATGAAACATTGTGTTGTAACCAGACACGATGGCGTTGGAATTTTAGCACTAGCACCGTTCAAACCAGGTCCGAGAACTTTTGGTAAATTGGTGAAGTTTTGAATGTCATTTCCATAGTAAGTGGAGTTAAAAATATCAGAATTGGCAGAATTTCTCTTGGGATCTAAAGTTTGAGAAGCGTTAACTGGATTTAAACTTGGATGTTCTTCTTTCGGAAAAAGATTCGTAGTATTTTCAGAATCAATGTTAACCACAACAGTGTCAGTGGTATTGGACGATTTAGAATTTTTAGCACTAGAACTGACTTCCCAGAAAGGATACCGGGGTCGATTTGGATAAGAAACTCTGCTGTTTGGACTACCGGATATATTTCTTGGATAGTCAGACACTTTCACCGGATTGTCAGACACATTTGTTGGTGTCGTGGTGTTGTCAGAAACATCACTAGAATTACCAGAAGTCATGTTCGTTTTGTTCGTATCAGAAGCAACATTTCCATTGTTGAAATTGTTAGTGCGATCAGAAACATTGTTATTTTTGTCCATATTTCTAGATACATTATTTTGATTGGCAGAGACTTTGTTTGGAGAGTCAGACACATTGCTTGGATTTCCAAACACTTTGTTGGGGTTTCCAGACACATTGTTTGGGTTATCGGGCACATTGTTTGGGTTATCGGACACATTGTTTGGGTTATCGGGCACATTGCTTGGGTTATCGGACACATTGTTTGGGTTATCAGAGACATTGTTGGGGTTATCAGAGTCATTGTTTGGATTTCCAGATATATTGCTTCGATTGGCAAATCTATTGTTTGAGTTTTCAGACACATTGTTTGTATTGGCAGAAATATTGTTTGAACTCCCAGACACATTATTTGGATAATCAGACACTTTGTTGGGGTTTCCAGACACATTTTTTGGATTATCAGACACGTTGTTTTGGTTATCAGATATTTTGTTTGGATTTCCTGACACATTATTTGGATATCCAGACAATTTGTTTGGATTTCCAGGCACATTGTTTGGATTTCCAGGCACATTGTTTCGATTTCCAGACACATTATTTGGATTTCCAGAAACATTGTTTGGATTGTCGGACACCTTATCTTGGATTCCTTCTTTACCGTTTGGATCATTTTGACCAGTGTTGGATGAAACATCAGACAACTTGATTCGGTTTACAGGTGCAGTGGTCGAAGTTGGATTGTTGGCAAAAAAGCTAGGCGTTCTTGACGTATTTGAAATGTTAGGATATGAAGTTGTGATAAGAGTACTTGGGTGAAATGGTTTAGTGATTATAGAGGAGACTGTTTCATCATCAGCAGCACTGTTGGGTGTGTTCGTTACGCTGTTCGAACCCATTCCCTCTACTGCCGGAATAAATGAAAAACCCATAGATATTGCTGTAGTGGTCGGAATATTTGGAGATTCGGACGATTTTATTGTATTTTTGAAGTTATTGGGGATTTTTGAAATCTTGAATCCACTTGGCGTGGTAGAGCTGTACGCGGTTGCCACGAAATTTGGATTGTTTGAACCATTTTGATTCGATGGTTGGTTACGAAAGGGAGGACCTCTAGATTCGTTAAACTGCGGATCTGAATTTCTGATTTGATCGGGGTTTGGAGTTTTTGAGTTATTATCAGCATTTTGGGTTGTATCCGAATCCGGCTTATTTTTGGGACTGTTATTCAAATAATTAGGATGACTATTGTTGCTTTGATTTGCTGGAGTAATATTTTGATTGTTGGTGTGGAATATATTATAAGACGGAGTAGGGAGATAATATGTTTTGGTAACGTCTGAAACAGGACTGACGGTAGTAGCTCTTCTGCTTAAAGTTGGTTGGTTTGAATCTTTATTCTTGAAGTGGTCCGGGTTAATATTTTGATCTGAAAATGAAATGAAGCACACATTAGTTTCACTATACACAATATTTAGATTGTTTTATTTCGAAACGTATATCAATTACTGGTGTTAATCATAATGATCGTGAATTTACGCCCTTCCATTTTGAAAGTGTATATATTTTTTATAGATAAATATATGTTCATGTATATGATTATATCATTGGTGGTCTAAACTATAAAGATTCAATTGTCTAAATATTTGCTGTTTTCCGACAAATACATGTCATTACAAATTTGAAACAAAATAACCAAGTCAAAGGTATTATCACAGGAATTCATTCAGAGAAATATTTTCTACCTCAAACTCAGCAGAGAGCTTATTTCAACACAGGTCTACCGCGCTTCGGACTATTTTGATGAAAATTCACAAAAGCCAAATATCGAGCCAAGAGCAATAAGAACCAGTCATCGTAACCCTGCCATCTTCGAACTGGTCCGAGATCTTCGGACACCTTAACAAACCAAGTTACCTTTACCGGTGAAAGTTTAGAATCATTTCAGACTGTTTTTGATATTTTGTAATTATAACTTACCCGAAACACAATAATATTCCAATACCATGTAATTAGAACGGAGAAGAAAACTTCTTCCTGAACACATATTTCCAATTGGCTGCCACGAAACTCGTGGAAAACATCGCTGTTTTCCATTGCACTCTGTGTAATAATTCATTTTGGATACACCCGAATATTCCATCTGACAATCTTCTGGGGAACAGATGCAACAATTGGGATCTATAGACATCCCTAATTCACTCTGCTCTGGACAGTTTGTATATCTCGGTTTTGCATTAGCATAAACATTTTTGACAACAATATGCTTGCCTATCTCACAAGAAGCATACAAAAATGTGGATGATAACCCATAACAAGCTGACGTAATGTGCACTGGCCACTGTCGTTGCTGGCAATCTGGAAAAACAACGATGCAGCTAAATAAATATAATGAGTCTACGGCTGATAGAGTTAAATTTCAACAACCCGTAATACTTTAAGGAATTAATTTTTTTGCATTGGTTCTCTTGCAATTTAGACAGTCGCCACATGCAGGTGGTTTAACAGATCTCGTTGGCGCCCTTGACGCTATATACCCAGTGACAATTTTGTCTGTTAGAAATTTTAGATTAGATTTTAGAGAAATACAAAAAAGTTACCTGTTAAGCCACATTGAATCGCGATTGAAATAATCCAGAATAAAATCTTCATTATTGTGATCCCAATAAGTTTAATCCATAATAAAGTAATATCTGAAATCACCTCTTAATCTAATTTTATGTCATGATATTGTCAATTAGTTTGTAAAATTCTCAAATATTACAAAACGAAATAAACGTGAGGAAATGAAAATGATAACTTTTGTACTTCTAAAGGAATTTATTAAAAAAGATTTCATATTTTAAGACCATCAAAGGAGTTTAGTTTGAATGTTTTGCTATTGTGGTCATTTCATTATAAGTTTTGTTCCCTGTCGAGACTATTTACTTAAACACATTCAGGTGAAAAAACAGGTTAAAAGAAATGATAAATACTGAACTCCGTAATCACAACACGTCTTCTATTAGATCTTAAAATCCATCTTGGTATGCAAGAGTACAAAATGCATTTAAATTCACAAACATGTTAATGGTTTTATATATACAGCTAAAATATAAGATAGCAGGAAATAATAGCCTTTTTGTATAAAATAATTGCATGTTATGCGAATACCACGATGTCCAGCATGTTTCAAGGCGGGTGTTGAAATAAATTTTAAAACTTTTTGTCTCTTGTGTTGTTGTTTACACATTTCAATTTCCGCGTTTTTTATATACTTACATTTTCCAGGATTATTCAGATTAGTGAAATAAATTCGTTTTTTTATTTGATATTTTAAGACCTAAGTGTCCTCTTTCCAAAAGGCAACTTAAAGTCAATGTATAACTCTAATTGGAGTTTGTACTAGGAGGTCCAGTTGGACCTTGTCCTAGGGGGATTTTTAAATTCTCCTAGATTTTAGCTTCTACTGTGACATATATACTTGGTTTATTCACCGGATTCTCAAAGGTTTAATACCTTGTTCACAAATTGTAGGCTTAAAAGCACTGGGTTTGAAAGCTAACAGGCTAGAATTTCAAAAGGTCCAAATGACTTGGGATAAGGTTTCGTTGCCACGCTCGGAACTGTTCACAGTTCTATATGTTTTTTTCTATATAAAGCAGAGTCTCATGAAAAGACGAGTCGTCTTTTTAATTTTCTGACGCAGATAGTACTACAGACATAGATTTGAAGGCTCAAATTTCGACGATGAGTCACTATTACTGATTAGCTAAGCTTAAAAAAAAACGTTTATGAGACCAAGGTACCAATGGCCAAACCTGGTGAACCTATCCCTTAAGGCCAGTCAGTAATAGTGTTCACAGCTCACTGTCAAGATATGAGCCTTCAAATCCAAGAATAACATAACAACTTATGTATTTGAAAACTGGACTAACTGGACAATATTGTTGGGTTGGGTATATATTAAGAAATAAAAATAAATTTTGTTGGTGAGTTGATATTTTGAATATTTTTCTACCTTAAAAATCAGTTAGAAACTAATTACGCTGTGCTCCAAAATAATTATAGATAGCTGACCAACAGAAAACTGATTACTATTCCAATGACCATTTCATCAATATCACAGCAAAGACATTTCATTATTAATATCATAAAGTAATAATATACTAAATAATAACAAATAAGGAATACCAGTAATAATAAATAAACAAAAACATTATCATATGCAATATAAAACATTATCATATGCAATATATGGACATCGTCACAATGTCAAGCCTTTAGGCAACTAATATTATGACTAATACCATGACTGCAAAAGCTATATTTCTTGTGTTACAGAAATTTGTAAATGCAGCAATTTGATTGTACTCTAAGGAATACAACCAATCATAGCCCCCACTTTGAGACAATATTCGCTAGCGTACAATCCATTAAAATTGCTTGATGCTGCATATGAAAACTCTTGTGATATAGGAAAGGTGACTATTGCAGTCAAGGTATTAGACACAGTTCATAATGTTTAAATTACAGTGTGAGAGAGAGTTATCAATAATTTTAATGACAAATTTTAATAAAATGGGACTGTTATAAAAAAATTTGTGTAATGTTCATCAAACAAAGGTTAACCTGCTACTAACCGTGACGATAAACACAATAATTCTGAGGTCAGTAAGGAAAAGCCTCTTGTAATTGTGTACCGGGTAGACAGTTAACAGCCCCTTTAAGAACACAACACAAATAATATTGCTATAGTAACATACTACAGAATACTTGCTCCATTGCTTGTTGTAATATATTTATAATATAATATTTATAATAAATAGATTCTGACACTTTATCTTACACTTAGTTAATTCATTCCGATTCAAACTTAAATGACATATACCACAACTTAAAGCTTGACTTATACGATAAGTGAACTGACATGTAAACTACTTTTATTGACCAAATTGTGGATATACAAAAAAATGAAGCAGAATGCTGAAATTAAGCTTAATCAGCTCTTATAATAATTGGTATACAGTATACTTTCTAAATTTAAATGGGGGGTATGCACTAGCTTCAAAATAAAAAGATTAAAAAATCATGTATCTATGTGGATACAGTTTAATTTATCAGTTTCCTGCCTCTCACAATTATGCGAGTAATCATCTTTGATAAACTTAATTTGCTTTACAGCTTTTTTAAAAACAGTCATATTTCAAAAAAAAATATTACTATAGTTCAGTTTTTACTTTCCTTTTAATTTCAGCGAGATATTTGGAAATATACTCCATAAATTGATGGATACTCCAACTTTGATATAGGTACATTTTTAACAAGTGGTTGGCAAGCAAGATACGCCCACTTCCCTGATAAATTTAATTTGTACAAGATATTGTTGATTTAATCAAACTTGCAGAGATCTCGATCATGACAAATGATCACACCAAATTTCATTTAAATCGGATGAAAACTGTAGTCTCTATTGTGTTCACAAACACTTGACACGTTTTTCCTTAGTCAAGGGCAAATACTCAAAAACCGTTTCAAACTTGATCAAGAACTCATGAATATAAATGAACACACCAAATCACATATTATAATGTGGGCATATAAAAACAATGACAACAAGAATCTGAATATTTCAGCTCTGAATCGGTGGAATAAAAATATGATTTTGTGACCTTGTGCTTTGTAGGCATATACAACTTACTAGCAATGTATATAATGCATCATTGTAAACCCATCAAAACCCTACAGTGTTATCTACTATGTACTCTTAAAATCCTTTTATAAACAAGCTCCTCAATCTGTAAAAAAAATTGTTAAATCGAATAACGTTTAGTTGAAATGAAAATGAAACTAAATTAAAGGCATAAGAAAAAGCAGTGCCAAAATTAATCAAGATTACAAGCATGACTTGATAAGTGTGAATTAAATAGACAGATATCTGTCAACATGTATATAATGCCGAGACTCACAAGACATCTTTATATGATTTTAAAGCATTTTTTTGCAGTCTATATTGCAAATTTCTAAAAAAATAATAATAAATAGACATAAATAAGCTAAAATAAATAAACAATTATGTAAATTTTTGATTATATTCTCTAACATTTTACATATGACAGTGTGTTAGCATTGGATCCTTTTAGTACCATGAATAACCTAATACAAATGCAAAGGTAAGTCAAGCTCATTTTGCTTTACATCCTGATAGAGCTCTATTTCAGCTACAGAATTGACCTCAATATCTGGTTCTGCTACCATATAGATATAGTTGTCAGGAAAGGTCAAATTGAGTTCTATTGGCAAAATCCATTCAATAACTTTAGTCAAATGGATAGCGTCTGTTGTCAAATTGGTCAAAACAGACTCAAAGTTCGATCATTACCGCACCTTAAAAAAATCTGCTTTGACTAAAAGCCTCACCATATAATTTCAGTCAACTTTATTGCAGCTAGCTTCAAATTCTCATATGAACACATTAAATATCCTGGATATGCAACAAATAAGAAAAAAAACAACAAACACACAAACAAATTTCACAGACACAAAGTATAACAACATTGCAGCCCAGCTCTAAAATAACATCAGTATATATTAGATCTGATTTTGTAACTTTTAAAAGGTTTATTCTATAAAGGATTGGTTGCTATGGGAACAAGTTCTATCCTTGGTCCAGAAACAGTATTGTTAATAACAGGAACATACACTTGATTCATTGCTATAGATTTACCATCTGGACCAGTTTGAATCGTGACAGGAAGGGTATTTTGAACCGATAGACTTGAGCTGTCATCCGTTATTGGTGTTGAACTTTGATCAATGACCGATGGCAACAACTGGTCTTTCTCTGTAGTTGTTGAATAAACTGGGGTAGCCTCCCCTGACATAGTTAATGTTGTTGGCATGGCTGTGCCTAGCACCAATGATCCAGTCACTGGTTGTTGTGTTGGAATCACATCTGGTGGGACCAGCTGGACTGGTGGTGGTGGTATTTGAGGCACCTGTATCTGTTGCTGTAATGGACATTGCGAGTGAGACTCAGATTGAATCTGAGGTAAAACTGATATCACAGGTTGAATTATTTCCTGAACACCATGACTCTCCAAAAACAAAGCTGAAAATAAATAATCACATATCAAAAACGAAACACTTACAAAAGAAAATCATCAATGGTGGATAATTCATGAATGAAGAATTGATGATTATTGAATATTATTTCAAAGGGGATAAAAACACAAAACATTGTCACTTTGAAATTCAATAAATAAAATATTCTTAGACGATCATTAAGGATGGGTTCCCTTATTTTCATTTATGAATTAAAAGTACAGTTCTTATGATTTGGAAAAATACCAGTTTGTCTCACATATCCGTAATTAATTCATAATTAGCTAAATTAGAAGGGAATTACCAGCAGAATTTCAATGAGTGACCGATCAAGAAAGGTAAAAAGTCTTCTCTTTTTTCATCCAGACTGTACATGGGTGGACATTTATGTTAAAACTCTTATTTATATGCAATAAGAGAATACATGATAATTCGTTAGAAACACCAATTTATCAAATAGTTTGCTTAATAAAGGAACAATAAAGGAAACCCATCTTTAAGCTTTGTGACTGTGTATACTTTTTTTAAGGCTAAATATGAAGATATATGTACCTGTATTATCAGTAGTTTGTGAAGGGTGAACACTAAGTGGGCAGTTGCTATTGGAACAATTATCATCTACAGCTGGTATATACAGAGAATTTAATATTTGTTCTGCAGTTAAACTAGGTGTCAATTCTTCTTCATCATCATCACCTTTGAATGACTGAAAAAACACAATTGTAGAATAAATGTTCATAATCTACTTATGGAATTAGAAACTAAGGTTTTAAATTAAATTTTGTACATATGATGAAAATGAAAGGCAATGCCTTGCAGTGTGCTACCAAGATAACTTTGTCAGAACAGAAGAATTAGCCTACTCTTCTTAGAATTCAATTATTGATTCATTGGCCCGTAGCACATGTGCCCTCAGATTAATTTAATTGTTCATGTCATCTCTTTCAACATGTATCAATGATATAGGATAGGTCCAGTTTAGATGTATGACCTCCATATTAGCAGGCTACTTAACCCTCAAAGAAAGAAGGTTGGTAAGCTACATCAAGTCATTCCTAGTAACATCAAATTCTGATGTATAGGAACCATTAGATGGGTTTAAATGATGATTTTGTTCCATATAATCTAAAATCAATGTCACCTGTAAATTTAGAGACAAATGCTATCGGTTCTTGAATAATTGACGTTACCCACAGAAAAAAAAATCTCACCTCACACTGTGAAACTATATTTGAAGAACTACAACAAGGTGACTGTTGTTTAGGAGGACTATTATTTGTAGTAGAATTTTGATCATCTTTATCGTGCCGATTGACATGATTTTTCAAACTATATGAGGTAGTGAATGCTTTTTGACACCCTGTTTGAGAACACACATATGGCTTTTCTCCTAAAATATGTAAAAATTCAAATATCAGAATAAATACGTTCTAGCATTCATTCCTTTTGTTAAAATGACTTCTTTCATCTTCATAATCCATTTTATACCTAGAGTGTTTGTTTCATAAACAATTTAACTTAGACATACTAATATCTCTGATGAGTTTATGTTCTTGAACTGATTTTATTGACCAATCTCTAGAAGCTTACTAGACATGAGACTTACAATTTTTTGGACAACAATGTCAAAGTTAAATATAAAGAGAAATTTGCATCTAAAATGTCAATAAATAAAATGTTTACCTGTATGTATTCTAGAATGGGTCTTTAGATGATGACTTGCTGCAAATGATTTACCACAGTTAGTCTCTTCACAACTGAAAAACAAGTACAACTATTTCAAATTCCGTCACATCTTTCCATTGAAAATCTTTCAAGTTATTTCGAATTCACAAGCTAAGTAGAAGTAATAGCACATTTTCAAAACAATATAATATCTTAAATAGCAGACCATGTTTCTCAAAAATCTCTCTGCCATTTGCCAGTATCATTTAGATAAGGGTATTTATTATGAATAAGGGTTAACTTACTGAAACGGTTTCTCTCCAGTATGTGTCCGAAGATGTTTACGTAAATCACTCAATGTTGTAAAGAATTTTGTACAACCTGATTCATCACATTTAAATGTATCACCAGTATGGATTCTTTGATGAGCTCGTAACCTACCAAAAGATAGTGTGGTTTGTATTTCTTTCTTTAAATTGGGCTTATAATAAATAAACCAAGTTTTAATAATTTGAACCGTAAAATGAAACTTGAAATCTAAACAACATATTGGTAAAACATAAGTAGCAAGTAATAAGCTTTTCACACGAGGAAGTATAATCTCATAATTCAGTTTAACCATTTTATATGTCAATTTGAAAAAGGATGGATTTCTAAATTTGGTTCAACATATCTACAAACAGTCAATAACAAAATGGCTAACACAATGTAAAAAGAAATTCAACTAACCTATAGAGTGTATTAAAAGACTTCTCACAATTCTGTTTATCACAGTTATACGGTTTCTCATTAGTGTGAACACGAACATGTATTTTCAAACTATATGATGTTAAAAATGATTTACCACAGCTTGCTTGATCACAGACAAATGTATATTCTCCTGAAAAATACAGATCCATTTATAACATATCGCAGCTGCCAGAGTTATTTCAAGAATCTGTCCAATTCATGATGTTGCCTATATTAATTAACCAATTCAGGAACAGAAAAACATGACATAAACTCCATTTGACTTCATATTTTCATATTAACAATTTTATATATGAATGTTTAAAAAAATTACATCAGATAAATTATTTAAGTCTACAACTATGATAACACTAACCTTTATGGGACTTTTGATGAGTTTTCAGATTTCCTGGAGTACTGTAAGTTCTAGAGCAATCTTGATAGTTACATGTAAATCTGAATGTGAAAAATACAAAATAAATGCATTTGTACCGGTAACTGAAAAATCTCTATTTGAGCAATGAGCAAACATCAATACTAAAACTCAAACAAATATTTGAGTTGTCAGTTAACCAGCCAAAGAAGGTGTGCTTTCTGAAGTTGTAAATTACATGTCTGATTTTATAATATGAACTAGTAACGTAACAAGACAATTGGTAAAATAATGTAATAGTTGGTAAAATAAAATAATGGAGTTATTATCAAATTATATTTCAAGTCGTCAAATTTCTTTACCTTTTTACTTCTTTTGTTTTTGTCTTTGGATTTTGGCTTTCAATAGTCAATGTAGCATGTGAAGGATTATTTGGCATTCTATTTTCACCTGGGTGAATTTTCATCAATATTTGATCTTCTGATATAGTATGTTGAATGTACCTACAATTTAATATCTAAACTTAATGAGATCATTCAATCTAAATACTGGTACTGGTACCAATGCTTTCACAAATACTTATTATCAAATTTTATGAGACCACAGCCTTGGCCCTTGAATAACACTTTCATTATCTTTTCAAACTTTATAACTTTGAACACAGAAGAACTTTTTGGTGTGGGCTAGTTTACAAAGCCTACCACTAATCTGTATCAACCAGTCAATTATGGAGAAAACAAATGGATAGAATTCGACTTTTATAATAGAGAAGATTCTCTAAAGACAGATGTAAACTAATTAATACAGATAAATAGTAAGTAACACAGACATCATGTCATAATCATTGAATTTCTGCTCTTAAGATGTCACTGACATCATTGATTATTCATTCTAATTCAATAGTTTCTCCTCAGTTGAATGAATATATAAGATCTGTTATGATCACTGGGCTAATTTTCTGCTCGACAATAACAGCATGACAACATTTTGATTTCAGTAGGATTATTTTGCCATAGAGTGTTAACTAGACCTAGCTAGTATTGAATTATATTCATTCACTCATTATGAATATAAACAATTATTCAACTATAAATAATAATTTTTAAAACACTTGCCCACTGTTTGAATTGTTATTGCTACAGTTGTCGAGATTTTGATAATCGGATTTCATGGCATTGAAAATTATATCATCAACTGTTGTATGTTGAAGAGAGTTTTGGGTAGAGTTATCATCGTCTGTTGTTGAGGAGTTCAATTTGACATTCGACTTTTCCGATTCATTCGTATCAGATTCCATGAAAACCTGCGTGATTGAACTTGCATCTTCAGTTCCATCTTCATCCTCAAAGTTAATGTAGTCTGTGAACGAAATTTCACGTTTTATATCTTCTTCAAAGGCCATTGCGATGAATTTAATGTTGCTGTCTAAATTCCCATCACATTAATTTCCTCCATTAAAGTAAAATCTTATACTTCCGGTTGGAGGGAGAGTGGAGTGTTTTATTTTTTCGACTGTCAAACATATTTGTAGGCTGGAATATCTAGTAAATTTTATAATAGACACAACCATGTATATTAAAGACTTGGATAATCCTATCTATAGATTCACGAAACTGTCGTGGTAATTGGTAAAATGTCGTGTGCATTAAATATATGCTAGGTTTGCAGTGTGTCCAATATATTTCAATGGTTTTCTAAGGTTGAGCATTCATTTATATTATATCATTTAAAAAGAATTCAAAAAATTAAGTATAAGTTTATTCATATTAATAAGTCTGAAATAAGAATTTTCGGATTATTTTATTTCGATTGGTATGTTACATGGATACTTATTGGTGACCTATTTATAGACATCCAATGAAAATGTTTTTTATAAACACCGGAACTCGCACTGGTTGATGAAGACTTCTGGGACGGTCTTTTCAGTGGTAGCCATTCAAGATGGTAAGGCTGTTTCAAAACATTCATGCGAAATCCAGCCATCCAACGCATTTATTTTCTTTAAGTGTGCATCTCAATATCGTAATCAAACCACACCCCATCTTTCAAAGTTTTTAAGGTTATATTTTGCCTATACTATGAAAATGACACTGGGTTAGGCTCATATTTTCACGTGTACAAAGTTGTGACATGACTTTTACTGGTTTTCTAAGTAAATGTGGATGCCTGCACCATTTATTTACTTTCAGTATCTATGTGTTTTGATGAAATGATCTCCTCTAGATCTACGTCAATATCAAGATAATGTTTGTTCACCACTAGGATGATCATATGGCACTAATGATAATAGGCAATTGTATTTATTATTCCTATTTGCAACCTTAACTGTTGAAAAGCTGATCAAGATTTTCACTAGTATGTTGATCTTGAAATTTGCATAGAAATTAGTTTTAATAATGGTTACTCAGGACTGGGACATCAGACTAAGTTAACAAGATCTACTACCGGTACTTGTAAAGCAGATTTTATGCTGAAAATGACTGTTTATTAAATCGGTTAATCCAATGTTAATTCTTGGCTAATCAATATTTTTCCATTTGCAGGGTTATCGAGGTGCTAGAAAACATCTCAAGCGTGTAACCGCACCAAAGTCATGGATGTTGGACAAGCTTGGTGGCGTTTTTGTAAGTATAAGTGTTTGATCACTACCTTTCTATAAGTATGCATCCGTAAGTTTTGTGGGCATGAATAAGTAACAGAAACCAGAAATTCATTTGTAGTTACGAATTATCAATAAGTACAGTAACATACAGAAACTCAATTAGGCATTTTTGACCTTTATCAGAGTATTTCTAGAATGTCTTTTATTTTAATTCTTATACAGGCCCCAAGACCAACTCCAGGTCCACACAAATTACGTGAGAGTTTACCCATGTGTGTATTGTTACGAAATCGATTGAAGTATGCTCTAAATTATGAAGAAGTTAAAAAGATTTGTATGCAGAGACTCATCAGAGTAGATGGTAAAGTTCGAACAGATAAAACTTTTCCGACTGGATTTATGGGTAAGGATTATTTTGTATAACGAAATTCTATTTAAATCAAAGTAGTTTCGCCAAAATTATGATTTTGACCTAAGTCATAGGACTATGAAGTATGTTAGTGCGCTTAGATATGAGAAATATTAATCTTTATTTTAGAGCCACAAGTCTCTAAAAAATGGCTTGATCGAAGTCACTTCAATTCTGTATGAAATGTGGTGGTCAAAAGTAAGCCAAAATAAAATCTTTCAGACGGTCGCTATTTAGTTCTAAAATAACTTTATAGCATTACCAAATGTTAGTACATTTATAACTCGACATTTCATTTTTATTATTTACTCTGTGTAGAATCATTCTATATTCTCAATTACTTTACATTTAGATGTAATTGGAATTCAAAAGACTGGAGAAAATTTCCGTATATTGTATGATGTAAAAGGAAGATTTGTTGTCCATCGTATCAAACCAGAGGAAGCCAAGGTAAGTTGTGTTTTATCCAAGAGTTATGCTAATCTACAGGGTCTTTGGAAGGACTTGCCATGAAAAAAAGTAGGCTATTGGTAGTTGCTGATCTACAGTTGTTCAAAGAGGACTAAATGCTGTGCATGGGATAAATTCCTCTACATTTGATATCAAACTGTACTGGTGTCTGTTTAATTTTACTTCCATTTCATACTGCATGGGTGTTGCTGATCTTGATTGGCCAAAAGTAAAAAGGTTAATGCTGTGTATGGTTTTTAGCATTTTGAAAATTTAATGACTTCCTCAAATTTGACTTATTTCAGTATAAATTATGTAGTGTCAAGAAGTGTCAGTTGGGTCAAAAGGCTATCCCTTATCTTGCTACTCATGATGGCAAAACCATTAGATATCCAGATCCAGCCATTAAAGTTCATGATACTGTTATGGTGGATATAGAGACTGGTAAAATAAAGGATTATATTAAATTTGAAGCCGGTAAGAATTTTTCTCATGATAGTTGTAGGATTCAATTTAAATTGGAAAATTTGATAAGGAATTTTTGGCACCAAATTTTATTCTAAGGTTGAAATAAAATTCACATTTCTTAAATTCAGTAGTAAATTAAAATGTTCCAGTAGAAAACCTTTAAAACGCCATTGACGTTAAGAATAGAGTTGGCTGTATTTTAAGATTTGACTTTTAATTCTAATGAAAAAAAAACCATTTTAATCTTGACTTGGCTGGAATGCAAACCCAAACTGTGATATACTGTTTTAATTGAACCCTGGTTGGACATGTGGTCCAACAGACATAAGGTGGGATATATAAATTTTAATGGATTTTCAATTAAATCCTTGGCTTGATCGAAGTCACTTCAGTTTTGTTTGAATTGTGGTGGTCAAAAGTAAGCCAAAATAAAATCTTTCAGACGGTCGCTATTAAGTTCTAAAATAACTTATTAGCATTACCAAATGTCAGTACATATCATTAATTGAAGTTGCTTAATATCTGTGTCTTCCTCACAGGATTTGAGTACTATCTCTATGTATTTTATCTTAGCCTTTTACCTGTTCCATATACTTATAAATAAATTATTTTGATTCCAGGTAATGTTTGTATGTTGACCGGAGGTCATAACTTGGGACGAGTTGGTACAATCCAATCCAAAGAAAGACATCCTGGTTCTTTTGATATTGTTCATATCAAAGATTCCCAAGGACATACTTTTGCCACTAGGTATGAATTTTAACTCATTTCAAATATCTTCTGTGTCGAGGCTTGATCGAAGTCACTTCAGTTTTTGTATGAATTGTGGTGGTCAAAAGTAAGCCAAAATAAAACCTTTCAGACAGTCGCTATTTGGTTTAACATAGCTTTATAGCATTACCAAATGTCAGTACAGATATTAAATTAATTAACTGGAAGTTTGTGATACTGAGGCTCCTAAGAAGACTTCAAGTTCATATTCAGAGCAGAGTTATTGATAAAATAGAAAGAAAAAAGATTGAACTGAATAAGGGGTTTAAACACTGTAAATTGTATATATTAAGTTGGTCGACCTTAATTCAGGGGATCACACCTAAAACTCCTATGTTCAACCGGTGATGTAAGAGACAGTCAATTAAAATTATACCAAACTTTCTGGTTCTTTTCTTCTTTTTTTTTTCTAATATAGCCACTTCGGCTAGGGTCTATGGACAGCCCTTTTGACCCCTGCATTTCGTCACAAAATGGTTAAAGCAGTTTGGTCAAGAGGTTAATTTGTTATATGCTCAAGAAGGCTCTCATTGCACATTAACTGAAATGAAGCTAATAACATGAACGGGAACGAAAGTGTGGTATTATTTTAATCTGAGAGAAATATAGCAGCACATTCATCATTTGGATATTAATTTCCATTTAGTTTCTGGTATAAATTAATAGTAAGCTCTTGATAATCTCTATTCCTTTATCTATATTTCAGAATGAACTATGTATTTGTTATTGGTAAAGGTAGTAAACCATGGATCTCTTTACCCAAGGGTAAAGGTATCAAACTGTCAATTACAGAAGAAAGAGATAAAAGAATTGCTGCAGTTGCTGCTGCATCTTCTGCATCCTAAAATGTGGTCATTGTGCCAATAAAATAAAAAAAATGAAATTTGTCTGGTTTTTTTTTTTGTATGAAAGAAATATGATCTGACAGCAGCGAAATGATAAATGTTGTCCATGTCCAGGGAGAATTTTTATCAAAGTTTTTGATCCACCAAAGCTTGTCTAGATTTATGTTCCTTTAGCAATAGTAATCCTGAACATGTGAAAAATCATCGTTCCCTTGCTAAAGGAATATCGTATAGACTATACAATATGTAGACCATTCTAACTCAAAACGAAATGAACTGTGTGTGATTATTTGTAGTTATCTTGAGAGGTATACTGTAAAACCAATGCCCAACTGAATTGGGTGTTCAGAGATAAAGCCCTCTAATTGCTTCAGCTCTTAATAGCAAACGCACTATGATCCTACTCTTGTATCCTCTCACTTGTCACCCATTCATTACTAGATAGGCCTGGAGATGTAGGGCATGATACCTAAGAAGTATTTTTCACCTATACTAATAAAAGAAAAAGCTTATCGGTTTCGGACTATGATAATGTGGAATATGTATATTATTGAGGTCAACTACAAAGAACTTGATGGCAAAGGAAATATTCGGGCCAATTGAATACTGCTGTTGCTTGAATAGTAGTTCGAAATGTCCGTCATATTGCTATACAAGACCTTTATTATCAGAAAGATGCGGAATTATGTAACTGAAAGTTAGGCTTGTGGGATATAAGATTTTTTTGTCGCCGCGGTCTGAACGAATGGTCAAACTTTTCCAGTCAAAAAGCTGTAAATGGGTATATATATAGTCCGGTAAAGGCAATTCCAAGAGGTTTGGCCGAGGACCCTCTTGCAGACATGACCTTCATGAACTTGCAATCTGGGTTGTTATCTGAACAACAAAAAACATTAATAAAATCAACAATTAAAGTAGATCAATATACCTATATGAGTATATTATCTAATGCAAATCTGGCAACGCTTTTTTAATTATAAGTTTCTTTACTTCCGGTAAGTCTTTGTTTTCTGCTCTATCATCCAGTCCCACCTTAGCTGCGACAAAACTTAAAAGAAGTCTTGGTGTTGGAGGCTATGTTTTCTTTAGATTCGAATGCAGAAAAATATATAGATTTAGTCTGACGAGATCCCGGCCTATAATCACTAAAATTCATTTGTTGTGTGAGAGGTGGAGCAAATATAGCTGTCAATATAATGTTTCACATAAAACCCCAATTTTAAACTCAGACAGGCAAGTTAACAAAGAATCGAGTCGATGTCCTATCCAATTTTTTTTTTTCAAAATCGCATTCGGTCGACAGGCTCAGTATAATAATTTTGATATTATTGTCAACCCCATACTATAAATATTACGTAGTTTTTGACCCACAGATTGTTTTTGGGTTTATGGTATGTATTATATCTACTTTATTTCTTAAAATCTTGATATTTTCAGTCTCAACTTTTTCATGTGTAGTAGGCCTAACTTCCCGGAATGTCTATTTGGCATAATACCACTCATTGCTCTCTGCATTATGTGGCTGATATTTATTAGCGAAAATAAGGTTTAGTAGATTGTAAAACATATTTGAATTCATTTGCAAAGCTTCTATCCTTTTTTTATTTGGTACATAAATAGTAAATGACAAATGTCTAATTAAGGTGATAACCTCTTAATAGCTGTGCTATATTGTGTCACAAATATTTCATCTGTTTTTCTAGTAAACAGGAAGTCTGCTTATCTAACAGTATCAAGTTGTATTTTTATTAGATAGCGAGTGATATTATTTTTAATCAATGATGATGTATGAAATTTATTATTTCTATATTTTCTTTTTACCTGATAACTACTCATTTCAGCTGAGAACTTGGTTTGAGGAAACATCATGGATACAAAAGATGAGGTTATCAAAAAAGCTGTTTCAGGTCTGCTTGAAAAACATCACCTTCAAGATTCAATAGGGTATGTTATAAATTTATATAACTTATCTTTCTTTTATTTGTGTCAATTTATAGAAGTATAGATGTTATATTGAGTTATGTATTAAACAATATTTAAATTTATTACTATAGAAGTATAGATGATGTTTGGAGTTATGTATTAAACAATATTTAAATTTATTACTATAGAAGTATAGATGATGTTTGGAGTTATGTATTAAACAATATTTAAATTTATTACTATAGAAGTATAGATGATGTTGTATTGAGTTATATAACTTATCTTTCTTTTATTTGTGTCAATTTATTAATATAGAAGTATAGATGTTATATTGAGTTATGTATTAAACAATATTTAAATTTATTACTATAGAAGTATAGATGATGTTATATTGAGTTATATAACTTATCTTTCTTTTATTTGTGTCAATTTATTACTATAGAAGTATAGATGATGTTGTATTGAGTTATATAACTTATCTTTCTTTTATTTGTGTCAATTTATTAATATAGAAGTATAGATGTTATATTGAGTTATGTATTAAACAATATTTAAATTTATTATTATAGAAGTATAGATGATGTTGTATTGAGTTATGTGTTAAGTATAATAGAAGACCTAGGAGATACTAATAATCCAGAAGAAAATATAGATGTTGATCAATTTATTGAAATGATGTCAGCCTATATTCCTGGATTTTCACAAATACCAAGGTAAACTTCCATATTGCATCTTCATATACATTAATTTTATTAAAAATAGAAAAATGTCAATCATGAAAGCTCATGGGTTGGATATTGTCCAACTTTTTAAACTTGGCAAAGTAGATTTAATGTATTTTCATATTCCATTTTACTTAGATTTGAACCAATCAGTTAGTAAGATATTCAGGGTAAAAAAAAAAAGAAGAATTTGAGGACAAATCTATGAAATTTGGTACCCACAAAAATTTCACAGTAGGCTTATGTTTAATACATTATAATATTTCAGTATGGAAATATATGACTGGATGTTTGATATTGCTTCACAATTATCCAAGACTACTACAGGTAGCATCTATTATTTATTATTTATTTATTTTTCTTTAGAAATTATTAGATCATAAATAAACATATTAGATTTTGTTCATAATTAATGTTTGCTTTTGTTCAGTGGTGAAATATCAATGGTCAGATAAATTTTCAATGTACACATAAGCTTATGAAAGTCCTGATTAAATGCCAAAAGCATTAAGTGATTTATGTGAGTATACTTTTGGCTAAACCATTATTTCATTGTTACAGAATCCTCAACTAACATTTCAAAACCAGATAAAGAGGAAGTTGTAAGATCACAGTTAAATGGTACATGTAATGGTAAAAAGTCACGACAGAGATCACGGAAAATGAGTCAATCTTCATGTGATTCTAATTCTTCTACAGATAAACATAATGAAAAGGTATACTTCTTAGATTTTCTCTTTGTGAACATGATCATTGACATGTGACCTGTGACATCTTTGTGTCTTAGCTGTTATTATTCAAATTCAACTTGCATTCTTTGTAGAGAGATGGTGGAGAGATTAAGTTATTATTAGAAATGTTCCCAGCATCATGTACTATAGAAATAAAACATTGTTTAAAACATTGTAATGGTGACCTAGAAGAAACAGCACAGCTTATTCTACAACGACAAGAGTCTGCAATAAGTTTAAAACCGAAACAAACAGAAAGTCAGGTTAGTTTAAAGCTTTAACAGACAGAACCTCTTCTTAGTTTCAAAACCTAAACAGCAAATTACATAACCTTACACAAACAGCATTTTAGATTAGTTTAAAACCTACACAAACAGAACCTCTTCTTAATTTAAATAATTCTGTTCATCAAAATCTACTCCGAAGTATGGCAAAATCGAGAACAAAAGTAGCATAGAAGTGGACTCCTCAAAAGAGAAGTACCATTAGGTGCGACACCTGCCACTACTATCTAGATCAACATCATGAAATACAATCAGACTGATTATGCCTGACCAAACAAAATCAGCCAAGATGCAAGAAACAGATTTGTATTATTTGTCCAGAAGTTCGTTATAACGACCATAAAATTTCCTAAATGAAGTTTAGTCTATCGAACAAGCTCTGGCATCCGCTGATGAGTTGTGAAACGTAAAACTATACGAAAAAGAATTTCACTCATAGCTGTTATGTTCTTTTAATACATATTCTTTCAGCATAGAAAAAGTGAGTTAAAAGGTTGTGGTTTGAAACCAGATAAATCAATGAAAGATCATGTTGTTGCCAAGTATGTCTCTTGTTATATTACATCTCCCTATCAACAACTATGGAAATATTGTTCCAAAATCTTGGAAGAAAGAATGTTTTTAGAATATTTTAGATTAACACATTTCTGTTAAATATGGAAAAATAAACCTTAATATTTATCTCATAGAAATGTAAATTGAAAATTCAACTGGAATGTGTTTACACAGGCATAATATATAATCCTTATTTGGGCCGATGTGTTTCAGATATAGTTTTGTTGATACAGAGGATGATGGTAAAACTCACAGACCTCCCCCACTAAAACAAGTAAACACAATTAATCATTTTTTGTGGTCTCAATATTTGTTGATTTTCTGTGAGGTGCTTGCCTGCCAAACCAACCAAAAGTTTAGTTTAATAATTGTCATGACTCACGGGGAAACCAATTTGGTCAAAGGGTTAAGAATAATAATAAAGCCCTTTATTCCTTAGTACTGAAATACTAAAAGAATGGGCAACTATCAGCTGAAGGGCCTTGTCTGAAATGGAAATGGGGTGTTAATTTAATGAAAATGGTGTATAAGCTTACATATACTATCTTGTTGCTCACTGAAGAATACACTTATGATATATTTCCAGGAACCAAAGAAATTAATTCGTTATTTAGATGGCAAGGTAGTGAATACTAAAGGCCAGAAGTATACAGAAATTACAAAACCAGAAGATGAAGAGATGAAAAAAACTTATGTGTCATTAAAACCTGCAAAACAATATCGATTTCATTGACATTAAGTTATATTCTATTTGATTTCATTTACATTTTGTTACCTATTATTTGATTTCATTTACATTTAGTTTTATTGATATTTAGTTAAATATTATTATTTTATTGACATTTAGTTACATTAACATTTAGTTACATTAACATTTAGTTACATTAACATTTAGTTACATATTATTATTTCATTTGACATTAGTTCTATATCATTTCATTTGACGCTTAGTTACATATCATTTTATTTCATTTGACTAAACATATCATTTTATTGACATTAACTGTTATGTATTATTTAATTTCATTCACATTAAGTTACACATTATTTCACTGACATTTAGCTACATAATTGTTTTCATTCACATTAAGTTACTTTAACTTTTTAAAGATACATATTATTTGTTTTCATTGATATTATTTGCATATTATTTTATCAATTGACATTCACATTTAGTTAGATATCATTTTATTTCTCACTGACATTTAATTAAAGGTTGGTTCCCTTATTTTCATTTATTTATATATATATTCCATTATTTGACAGCTAATACTTCTATAAATGGAAAGTAGATGTGTTCTCATGATTTGGAAAAATACTAGTTTGTCTCCAAAGTCAATAATTAACTCATAATTAGCCAATTACAAAGGGATTTTATGATCAAACGGTCACTGGATAGAGGTCTCACACTTTTCATAAGGGAGGTAACTCAATGTTTGTGTTTCACAGCCAAACATTACCAAGGTAGCCAACACATTTATAATTTCAATGGTAAAATAAGCAAAAGCAACTTAAAATATTATTTCATTGACATTCAGGTTGTTAATTTAAAATAGAATATTGTTAAACAAGTGACATTTTGTGTATGTTTTATTAAAGCATTCGATAAACTGTATTCAGAATAAATAAAGTATTTTAGAAAAATGAAATAAATATTATTTTTGAATGCCTTGACACCATTATGTTGAAAGACTTGTTTATGTCTATCATGTGGACAAATTGAAGGAAACAATTGAATAAAGAAATACAAAACATACAAATGTCAAAATTCAAAATGCAGTTTTAGTTTTAGATGTATTTTTGAATGCGATTCCAACTCACCATTAATGATATACAAGTGAATGTTTAACAATGTCTTATTCATTGTCTTTGAATTTTGAAATATAACACCTAGCAGTTACAACAATTCTATTTATTTCAGATCACTTTGATTATCTTCTATATAAAGTTGTAAAACACCACTGATTTTCCACATACTGTGTGATATTATGGGATACTTGTGTGCAATATGAAGGAGTGAATCATCTATTCGAGTCTGAAAATTTTCACAAAATCTCTTACCCTCTGGCGAAGTCAGTAATTTGGGTTTTTGTCGAACACTTTGTAACATACAGTGAATGATGTAAAACATATTTTCATACTGTATGCAGTTGATGGTATTTTCAAAATTACGCAATTTATCACAGAAACTTTCACAATGTGTCATTAGAATATTAATTGTTATTGCTAAATAATTTAAATGTTTTGTTCTCATAAATGACATCACAAGATTTTGAAATTTTTCCTTGCTTTTTGTTGAACTCTGAAATAATAATGTTATGAAGATTACAAGAAGGGTACTAAAAGCAATACTGCTACTTTAAACTTTTGAAGCTCTAGGACTTACATGAGGTGAAAATTTAAGTCATTAATTGTTGTGGGATTATTTATGTCTGAATTCCAAATGCTAGCTAATGCGTAAGCCGAGGGTTGATGTTTTCTGACACGCCCGCTTCGTGAAGCGACGGGGAAGGGAGGTGGCCAGCCAGCTAACCTCCTCCTATTCCGACCAGAGGTCATAATTCTCTTTTGAGGGTGTGTCTTCGTAGAAACCAGAGGGATTTGGTTAAAGGGTGGGGCGGGGGAGGAAGGACCGAACAAGGAGCAGTAGGAGTTTTGTCAAAAACTGCTACCTCCTTAGGAAGTCCGCCCCAGGATTGTCTTTAAATGCCAAAATACTTACTTGATCTAATCCATTGATGGCTATAATTTTACTGACTACAGCCTGAATGATATCACCAACTTTAGTTTGTATTTCTTTATAATCATTGCCATAAAGAATATTACTTAGTTCTACTACACATTGTATTCCTTCATTGAGATTAGCTAAGGAAATTTGAAGTTCAGAATCAGTGACAACTCCTTCAATGATATTCAGATTAGCTAGTAATGTCTGCTTAGTAGTAAATTGTATAGTCTGTTTCTCATTATTTTCTGCTAATGTTTTCTTGATACCAATGATACTTTGTAGAAACAGTGTATTTTTGTGGAAGAACACAGGTTTACTAGTAGTATTGTCAGATGATGATGATGGTGGTGTAGGAAACATTGGTTCACTTGATACATCAATATCTGGAAAAAGAGTGAAAAATTCAGAAAGCCTGTGTATCGCAAAGTAATGTGATGCATTTTGTTTATGTTAGTTTTGGGATGGATAGACATAATAGACATTTCACTTATTGCCCTTGTGAAGAACAGATACTGAGATGTGCTGCTTGTGGTATCAAATATGCAGATATTACGAACTGTATCTTGCAATTGTAGACCCTCAAGAACTCTTTGTCTCATAATTTTACATCGTTTGGTACTTTTAGAATATACTAGTACCAGTACTCCTCTTAAGGAGCCCAAACCAGTCAACAAACCAGGTATCAATATGGCTCCTTCCAACTTGATTAAGGGTACAAACCTGCAGGGCCAAAAGACAAAGACTTTGTTTTATACAATAACATTTCTTGTTTTAATTTCAAAATTTCTTCTTCTGCTTTTTCACATTTCAATTTCCAGACATGTTGAGCTTTTTCATAATTTTGGCATAATAGTTGTGTATATTGTTTGACTGTTAAATCATTTGGTTTATTCCTACATATGGTTATTGCAGTGGCTAGTTTCAACATACTCATGTAAGATTTGCCTGAAACATTTAAAGTAACAATATGATTATTAGGCCCATGTCTTTATCAACATCATTCAAAGACAGGGCATCTAAATATCTTCCTTATCACCTAAATCAATTTCAGCTAACCATATCACTTATCAACATTCAAATTTGATGTCACATTCTGCTATATCCTGTGCAATCTTGCGATTAGTAGGAAAGCCGAACAAGTCGAGAATGCTGGTGCTATATTTAAATGTATGACGAGTGTATGTTATGACGTACTTTTTATAATACATATCTGTCGACCGGCAAAATCTCAAGTGCATTCCCAAAGGCTATTCTGTCCACAAGTAGGCCTAGAGCCAGTAGAGGCTACTTCTGACAATTAATTCTACCTCACCCGTCACTCCGATCAACGACCTAATCAAAAGTATCAATACCAAGCACCTACCACATTGTGTTTCTTCAACTGCTAAAACTGATCTGTCCATTTTGAATTTTTCACCGTAAGAAATCGGAGCATATTTGAAGTTAATTATAAAAAGAGCTAACTAAGTCAAGGCCTTACTTTAAAAAGCCGCCATTTTTAAACTATATTGCGCACGTTGCCAGATTATCAAAAACAAACTGCCTTGGAAAAACTTCTCCCAGTTTAAGCTGCATCATAGAACTGTATATATGGCAGCATGACGTATCAGTAGCAAGAAAATTCCGTTAATTAAAATCTCGTTCAAAGCATGGCAGAAACAAGAGTAAATATATTGTAGTAGTGGACTGCTCTCAAGAGAAGTACCATCAGGTGTTTCAAAAAGAGTTAGCCTAAGCATGGTCTGCTTCGCGCTCGACGACACCCGTCACTGCTACTCATGATTAATATCACCATTAGCCCTAAGTCCGAAACATCTGTCTTTAATCTATTTAATGTGTGAACGTTATCGTCCGGAGTAAGGTCAGAAAAACTAGGTCCCGTTTTATTGAGAAATTCTGTTCGAAAGGGACATTTGTGAATCTATTAATTGTTTTGATACATCCTTAAACGGAAGTATGTGACGGCTTCAAAAATCAAGAATTGTTAAATATCGAAGATATCGATAGGCCTATATCAATTTTTGTTAGCGTTTTTAAATCATAATTATTTTCACAATTTGTAATCATATCTGCAATAAAGTGTCACCTCTGCTTTTGGACTAGACTATTAAACCAATAATTACGAGTTATGGCGATATGGAAAATAAAATCCAAACAGGGGTTTTTCTTTTTTAATTAACCAATCATAGAAACCATAAAATATAATATTACAATAGTCAACAATTTATGATCTCAAATATCACAATAAAAAACAAAACCTACATTAATAATTTACGATTTTGCCAGTAGGCCTACAATCGGCACATTAAGTATATCCCACTGAAAACCGTAAGTCTACATCAGCAGTTTCTCCGAGAAGTTTGATAAGATTCCAATTCAGTGATATTCAGAGATTTTTCAGAATCATTTAACCACATAACAACAGCATCATATGGATGTAATCCTTTAGATTTCACATTTTTGTAATTTGGTCCGAGTAAGGTATGAGATTGACACGATGTTAGGTAGACTCCGTTACCCCGCATTTTCAATATATCACGAGCTACAGTGTTTACTGCTGATAAATGCTTTTTCACAATAGTGTCTTCCTCTGAAGTACACTGTTGGCTCTGTGTGGCACAACGTAGTCTGAGACATGTAGGCATATACCAACTATCATAATACGAAGACACAAACAACACGGGCAATTGAACAAATTTGTATAAATGTTCCGGCATAAAACATTCCCATTTTGAGTTATCATCTTTTCCCTTAAAGCAATTATTCAGTGACGGTGTATCTACAAAATAAATAAAAATATATTATTTTTATTTCCAACTCACAAATGTATACAGGAAGAAGATTTGTGCAATATAGGCCCGCAATGCATCAGTAGCAAAACAAAATTCAACACATTTAACACATTAGTCAACAACAAATAATGGACCGTAGGAATTATCCTCTTTTCTAGGCCATGAAGAATGTTCTCATGTGTATTTTGCCAATGACGTTATGATGTAATATCATAAACGGAATACCGTTCGACAATTTACACCTTCGTGGTACGGTTTTAATAAATGGCTGTAGGAATGACTGACATGACTCGAATGAATGGAAGTTTACTCTACGGTGGCTCACATACGACATTTTCCACTTTTTATTTTGAATTAAAAACTTTTTTTTTACTTGGTGAAAATTAGGTGATAATTCGTGTAATTTTTAATTAAAAACTTTAATTTTCACCTAGGTGATAATTGAAGAATTTTTAATTAAAAACATTTATACAAGATTCGTTGAATTATCACCTAGGTGGAAATTTTTAGTTTTTAATTAAAAATTACACGAATTATCACGTAATTTTCACCTAGGTGTAAATAATTATCACCTAGGTGAAAATTAAATTTTTTAATTAAAAATTACAGGAATTATCACCTCATTTTCACCTAGGTGAAAATTAAAGTTTTTAATTCAAAATTACAGGAATTATCACCTAATTTTAAATTGAAGTTTTTAATTCAAAATTAATTTTCACCTAGGTGAAAATTAATGTGTTTAAATTAAAAGTGAAATATGTCGTATGTGAGCCACCGTAGAACTCTGTTATAGTAACATTATGGTACTACAAACAAAAATCAACTAGTAACCTTTAATATTATGAAGATGGTAGGTATCTTTTAACATATCTTTCATAATTCTCTGTCCATCAACAGCAGTTTGATCTAAAAATATTCCACCATCACTGATGCCCTTAATACTGAGTACAGTTTTAGGTAACAGCTGTTTCAGGTGATCTAAATGGACTAATACTGCCAACGAACCAGCTGAAATTTACAAAGTAGTTGAGGCAAACTTGCTTGTGTTGATTTTTATTACAGGACCCCAAAGACAGTATATGAAAATTCGGAATGATGAAAACAGAAGCTATTTGACAAAATTAATGCATGTACATGATTACAAAAGCTCAAATTTCTGCGACTAAAGTATGATTGGCTAAAAAGAATGGCGCATCTATCCCTTTAAGGTATACCAGTGGACATTTATTAAATCGTTTCTACCAGCTGATCAAGCAAATACTTAAAGGGCGGTATCTCTTTAAATGATTTCTTGTCTTCATTTGTAATATGGACTGATATATATACCTGATGATCCAGTTAACAAGACATGTTGAGCTTGAGATAATTTAGTGGTATCTAATAAATGCTGTATTAATACATCAAATATGGCAGCACCTCTTAAATATAATGGTTTACCATTAACATGGACAGTTTCACCAACACTGCCTAGAACATAAATACACCACAACAAACTTACTAGCACATCTTTAAGTGTATAAAGCCTTTTAATGCTATAACCTCTTGCATTGCTCAAATTAATAAATGAACCCTTTAGTAACGTTATTCCATTATTGTTCAGGCTGGATGTAATATGTCTTATATTCCCTTTCTAGTAAATGTATAATTTTATGTATATTTTCAGTCATTATCACGGATTAACTTCCAGACAGAAATCTGACTCCAAATGTCCTTATCAAAAATATAGTCCAGCCCAATGGTCGCAGACTTAATTGATCACGTAAAATGTAGAGGCGAGTTTCACCCTTTGTCTGATGCACCCTTTGTCCGATAAAGAATGTTTTGTATAAAACGTTTATTACGTTGTTTAACTCAAATGGACATCATTCGGTGCATATTGTGTTCGATCCGTTTTCTTACATTTGTATTGTACACTTGATTGGGTATAATGTCCTTTGATAATAATTGGATCTGATGATGGATCTGATTGTTTGGGAATTTTGGATCGTAGGCCTACCGCCTTTAATTTATTTACTTACCTGCGTATGAGCCCCCGTCACAATATATAAACTCGACAACATTCCAATTACAGAAATGTGGATTTAGTGTGCAATTCGAATTTCTCATACTTCTGTCCATATAATTTATTGCATTTTTGGTGCTACCAAGTTCTGTTCTACTCCTACAAGAGCAGTATGATTTTGAATTAGTTATTTTGGACATTTGGAAGAAACAAACGTTTATGGAACTGACTTTGAAGTCTGTAATAACAACAATCTGATTAAATGTAGATCTATACAGGTGGGTTATTACACTTTCCATTCATGGTCTGACAATATTCTTTATTTACATTGAAATTATGTTGCAATTTCAATCAACCTGGGGACATTTTAAGCGCTTATGTTTATATTCATATAAAGCTAGTTACCAATATATGATCCAGGAAGCAAAGTGGCTTGACAGAATATTTATCTTTAAGTTAATTTGCATTAGTTATTGTTTCATGCCTTAAACCAGATAAATAATTATTAATTCACCTTTGTAAACAATTTTCTTTCGATGTGCACCATGCACCCAACCGTAAATGTATGATCCAATTCTTTACTGATGTAGTGGAGCCTGAATAAAAATACTGTACATGTATTTATACATTATGGCTTAGTATGATTTAGCAGTTTTATTCAATAGGCAGGGCCATTACCATTGGTCCTTCAAGCTTATATACCATACAACTTACAGCAGAGTATTTGTCATAGCATGTCCCATAGTAACGTCCAATGTGATTTGCCTCATTTATATTTTAACATACAGGACTTATCCTGCATATCTTCATTTGATCTTTGAATGCGCTTACAGTGTGTAATCTCTGACGCCCAAACAATACCTGTCTACTTCGTTGATGCTGTACATAGACAAAGATGGACTGGATGATGTGGCAAATATCGAGTTTAAATAATTACTTTTTCTTATGAAATATCCCGGATTTGAACCATCAAGGCAGTAGGCTCGTTGAGGTACAACATATTTGTCTGGAACTACAACGAGTTGAGCTTTCTTTGGTACTAGTATACTAGATACAGTATTTACTACTCTTGGTTTTCCATTCCAATTGGCAATATATCTCAATCCAAAGAGCAATGCAATAAAACCAACCAATAAAACTAGTGTTTGAATCCTGAGACTAGCCATGACATCTATTATAAGCTAAAATATATATAAAGCTACAATGAAAAGGTATATCAATTCTAAAGGAATATAATGTACTGATCCCATTTTAATAGCTCAATAATTATCTGACATGTTGAGAATTACTGACACTTCTGTTGGAAATATCTTCAATCGACATACTAGCTAATAAAGCTTATTTATCTGTAGTACTTTTTAGATTTAAATTCCGAAGTCCAGTTCTCTTTAATTCATTTAAATTAAACATACTGTTGAACTACCATCACTTCTAAGATGGTATTAATAATCTCTCGGGCAATTATGTCATGATATCTGTGATATCTGCTCTTAAGAATGTTAATAACGCCCTGGAAGTGACAATAGTCAAATAAACGGTCACATTCTTACATACCACAATAGAACGTGACGTCGTATTCTTATACTAACTGATACGGATTTATATAGAGCAATTGAGCCTTATGAGCGAGAGCATTAAGTCTAGTAGAGGTTGTAAAATGAATGAACTATTACATACAACCTCACCTTAGATTTTTACTTAGAAACCATTTTTACTTGCAAACCATTTCAACGTTGTCACTGAACTGGAACGAGACAATATTGAATCTCTCTCTAATGACTAAATTTGTGTCATACATTTACATGTACATCTTTTATTTATATCGGTTAATATAGTAATCATCTTCATCAGCCGTGTTTGCTGTAGGCTATAAATCGTAACACGTAATAATCAATACGTTTGTCTAAATTGGTTGTATGACTATAAAGGAGAGATAAACACATACCTGTACAGGTGAATGGAAAACTATGGTAGCCCATACATACAACAAATTTTATTACAAATTCGACCAAAAAGTTTACTTTGTAATTACTAATGAATTATAGGCCTAACCCACAGCAGAAAAATTTTCATCTAGTAGGTGATGATTAGTACAGAATTCCTAAAAAGAAAAGTATATAGACTGTATTACAGGATATATAAAACTTACTGGTGAAAAGAGACAGTATAACGTCATCCATATGTAAAGAAGGATGTTGCACAGATGGGACAATATCAATATACAATTGGTTTTCGATAACTCCACACAAGCTGTGCGGTGCACACGTATTCCCTAGCTAGGCAAATTGACAACGATTTATCTCAAATCGACAAATGTAGATAGAACATGACCATTCATATTCTGTTCCGTAATGTCTGTCAACTATAGGTAAACCATTGCCAGGTGAAACGGGGGTTGGGGTGGCTCGCCCAGTGGTTTGAAATATAAAAAAATCGACAAATGTAGATAGAACATGACCATTCATATTCTGTTCCGTAATGTCTGTCAACTATAGGTAAACCATTGCCAGGTGAAACGGGGGTTGGGGTGGCTCGCCCAGTGGTTTGAAATATAAAAAAATCGACCCCCCCCCCCCCTTCCAGAAAAGAGGCTTTGTACAATTTTACATAGTGAAAGAATTACCTTTCTAATGGTTTTCACCATTACAACCGCGATTTTGGTTGGTTATTCACATACCGTGACTGGTTATTCACATACCGTGACCGAAGAGGTGACGGTATCCCTAGAGATACAATATTGTGGGGCAAAGACTAGACTCCGACTGTTTCATGTGTGGTTTTACATAATATGGTATAAACATAGATGTATTATAAATTCTCATATACATCTATTGGTATAAAAACTAATGAAAAGAAATTTTGATTAAATAGGAAATTAAGGAAGGCAAACATGGTGTTTCCTGAATATTGATATTCTGAAAAATACGAAAGTTAACATGTTTTGTCTATATTACTCTATTGAATAAAGTTATATTTCTACTCCAGTGACACACCTATAGGCTGCGTTCGACATATATATCTTGTCATAGGTGGAAGTCCGAAATCTCTATATTGTTTAAAGCCCTGCAAACTATAAATTTATAGTGTATTTTATAGACTATTTATAGTCCATGTTAATGGTTTAAGTTAAAGAACATTGATATATATTGAGCACGAGTCTGTTGCATATTTTATTCAGTTTTAAATTTTTGTTTTTTAGTTCTGCTATGACAGCTAGGTCTGATAATCTCTCGCAACATTTTCTATCCAAAATGTAGTTACCTTCTTCGGACTAACAGGTGTGTTAATTGCCACTAGAGGGAGTTCGGATTTCCTCTTGAAACTTACCTGACTGACTCATTCAGGTGTTGAAGGAAATACTTTTTGAAACTCATTGGACTCATTTAAGTGCTTTAAGAATCGTAATTAACGACCAACATTCAAAATGTCTGGAGGATACGTAGCTGTAACTAAAGCTTCTCTTACAAACGATTTTGACCCTGATAATGTTGAAAATATTCAATTTTATAGGCCAAGGAGAGGTGGATTTTCACTCAAAAATATTTGTGATTGTTTACGAAACCAGTCACTTTTAGTAAAGGGGTTGATAGGCTTTGCTATTGTATTTGGTATCATTATGACTATTATCATAGTCATGTCAGTAAAGAGGAGCAGCTCTCCAGAACAAACTTTAGAAAACCACTCCTATCCAAACTATCGTAACAAAAAATATGGTAAGGCATCAAATTGTTTTTGAAAGTTATATGTCCTATATATACAGACATGTAACCTAATTTTGTCAGAACCTTATTCTGTTTATCTCATATATATCTCAATAATTTACATGTGTGACCTCTGTTTTTGCATTATTTGATAAACATGGGTTTTCTCTACATCAACCTACATAATCTTACTATTGTTTCAATGTCAAATGTATTATTTATTCTAACATATACAAAATGATGGATTTCATTTAATACCAAATATCACAATTTATTATTGGCCAAATTTCCTTATAATCAGCAGCTATACTCAGAATTCTAAGTGTCATCTGCTAGACAAAGTATAGGATTCTGTGTCAGCACAATGTAGGCCATATTCTTATGTTATTTCAAGGAATTTTAGCAATAAATTACTCTTACGTATCACTTATCTTATTTTGACAGTCACTATTTTTTTTTTCAAATCATTGTTCTTTGAAAGATGTTATAATTAGTCATTAGTTATAATAAAATATTATTAAAGATAAATACAAAGAAATGATAATTATGCGACTCAGTATCCATACAACGTTTTATTTCCGACTTGTTATAGAAATTTGACGAAATTTGGTGTTGAATCCTTATATATGCATGAATATAGGCTAAACCATTGTATGTCCATAATTTAAACAAGCTCTCAGAGTCACACCTTAGAATAGGGATGGAAACCTCTAGGATTAAAAAGGCGTGGAAACCACTGGGGGGAAACCACAGAAAGGGGAGCTGAAGTGCTTGGATGGCTAGGGTTAGGGTACGTCATCAACAAGAATACAAGCAAATCAAACATAGATTTGGAAAATTTTAGCCCAGAATTTCATATTTTGTCTATGCTTGACAGCTTTTTCTAGCTGCAAGGTGCTTTGCTTCCGCTAAGAGGATATCATGCATGCACCCCACCTGAGACATTATAGTGACCCTTTCACGTCAGGTTCAGGGCACAATTCCATAAATTATTAGATTATTACTTCCATTGTAGGATTACAGTTCTATCCACAGCCAGAAGATGAGTCAATTTTGATAAATTTTAGACCTATGACATATGCCAGTTACAAACACTATTACAATATGTTGAATGGCATATTACATGGTAAGTTGACTCGGCTATTTGTAGCTTAATTCAAAGTCACATCAGATCTAAGTTGCGCATCATTTTACTTTACTAAATTGGCTATTGTCTGGCAAAATGGCATTTTATACTATATGTCTGATTACCAAGGCAAGGGCATGTCTTCAAAATCCCAGTCCTGGGATGTTGTCAGAATTTCCCTCATTGCATACAAGATTTATGTTTTATTCATAGATTACAACATTTTAAATCAACAGAACCCTGAAAAATATGTTGACTGTAGTGATAAAAATGCCCCAGGAGATAAAGTGTGCAAGTTCCCATCCACCAAGCTTGGAAAATGTACAACAAATCATGAATATGGTTATCATGAAGGAAATCCCTGTGTTCTTTTTAAACTCATGCTTGTAAGTTTTTTTCTATTATGTATAACTTGATTTTCAATAAAAAGGTACATCAAAGTTTGTGTCATCATCAAATGAAATATTCCTTGTGGCTTTTATACACCCACATGGAAATGTGAACGTATATATTGCCACATTTCTTGTAGACAGCACTAGGCTGCAGTTTTTATCTGATCTTATTTGTATATGTGATCTTTGCTTCTTAATGTTGCTCGAATACCTGTTTCCCCTTCTGAAAATGAATTCTGGCAGCTATAAATCTAAACAGATATTTAAAGGACTTGCGTACAGAACTGTTCTGAATCACCGTATAATTGATTTCTAAAAGCAAAAGTCAGTTATCAGAAACTGTTTAATTTTAGCCACCAAATATGAAACCCACATCAGCACTATCTGGTAAAAGTGAATTAGGTGAAAGATGGAGCTCTAACAGTATTGGTATTTCATGTAAAGGCCAGGTAAGGTATTATTGATCTGTATTGTGGCTTATTTAGGACATGTTGTTGATGGGGTAATGTTGGATCTTCGGTCTTGTTACTTACTTTTAGATCTTTGTACTTGCTACTTTCAAGGTGTACAGATACTTTATTGCAAATTTGATGCCAGGAGTTCAATACCAGCATAGATTCAGATGAATTTTTCATGAATGTTTCCCCTGTTTGTTCAAATATCAGATCATTTGATTACTTGACAGCAGTCAAACTATGCTGTGAAATTGAATGTCTATATCAAGGCCACAAACTATAACTAAAGATGTGTTCCACCAATCTTCATCCCCAATCGTTTATTTAGCGAATTATCTGTCTTGATCTATTGTGAACGGTTTCACCACATCAACATTATCAGGTTGAAATGTGGCTGATTGAAAATGCTTTGAGGAGAAATAAGGATTAATTAAAGGTCTGTGGTGCAGGTATTAAACCTAATGTGAAGTTTAGTAACATGTTTGCATAAAAATTACTGTACATCTTTGAATGGTCCAAAACAAAGATAACACATCATGGTAACACATTCCTCTGATTAGACTATACTTGAGCTATATCTATTACATATTAATTGTTTTTTCTAGACACCAGAGGATGATGAAAATATTGGTAAGAAATATTTAAAGAACATTCCACCTATTCAGTACTTTCCAAGTGCTGGATTTCCTACCTTTTATTATCGTCACCTAAACAACGGAACTGAATTCCTGGACCCATTAGTTATGGTTAAATTTAATACTGTAGCTGATCATCATTTTGTTAATATTGAATGTAAGGCTTGGCTTGAAGATATTGATGGATTAAAATCAGAAGATTTCATTTCAAAATTTGCTTTTTATATTCATTGAGTTTTCACCCACTTTAAGACACCATGTCATGATGAAAAAAAATAGAAACAGTTGATATCGAAGCATTTTCTTCTTAACATTCCTCATTAGAGAACTATTCCTGCCATTTTAAGGCAAAGAAATATGTCATTTACTGGACATTTAAGTGAACTATGCTAGCTATGGTAGTGTGTTACATATCTTTGATTGGAAAAGTTTGGTGCTTTAGTTACATGTCTTTTTTTTTCAAAGGTTCTTCTCTCTACCATTTTAAATTGAAAAATATTTCTTGCCATTTCCTATTGCAAACATTATAAGTAGTTATACATTGTAAAATTACATTTCACCAAACCTTCACTTTGCTTGCTTTAAGATTCTGAAAACAATTCACAAAGTTGTTCACATTTTTGGAAAATATCTTGAATGATAGTAGGTTACAGTAAAGAAAGATTTTTTTTAGAGAGAAAGATATTTGATCAGGTCTTCTCTTTAACATCTTATGATCAATACAAGTCTTAAAAGAGGCGAAAATCTGTTGCAAAATGGAGTAAAGTACCACAACAAAAATGGCATCGAAAAAATCATTCCATTGTAAAGAAATTTATTTCAGAATGATAATACAAATGTTAGTAAGCTTAAGCTAGAGTTAGTTGGATTCTTTAGTTTAGCATAGATATTTGTGCATATCTAGATAAAAAAAAAGTTTGCTGAAGGTAATTAGAAACATAATACATGTTGAAGTTGAACTTAATTTAACCACAATGTATTCAATAGTACATTATGAAAGAATTGATTTATTGGCCTAGCCTATATTGTCCTTCTAATATATATGTCTCCAGATGTGCAAAAGTATCTTTACGTATATTTTGAATAGTACCTAATTTGTATTAATATCCTGGGCCTATATATATTAGTAGATTTTAAATGAATTTGTTGTTGAAGCTATAGTGATATTTAGTTTGATATTATTTTTTAACAAACTTGTTTCTCTGTACTTAAACATTTGGATACTGTTGGATTATTAATACTTTATTTTCTTATTCTTAGTTCAATATATCATACAGTTAACCCTTTCAACTTGAATTTTTTGCTAATTTCATGGATATGGAGAAAGCCACTGTAAGATTCTTATATGTAAGAGATGATGGTTCTTCTTAGAAATAATTTGAGTTTCAAAAATATCATCTGCAACAGTTAAAATCTTCAGGGACCTTTTCATCATAATACATATAAATAAATTAGGGTTATTATTATTATTTTTTTTAGCTTAGTTTAGTAGGTCAGTACTAGAGTTCAAAGGGTTAACAGTTGAGCAGGAAATTTGTAAATAGAATTGTATATATAGTGCTAGATATTGAAAAGTACAGTACATTTATTACAAACAAAAAGACAACCAAATGAAAACGAATTTGTGTATGTTTTTATGCATGGCTAAATTGCTATTTAAATATTTTTTTTAAATATTGTAATATTGTCAGAAACAAATATTTTGCTAGACTATACAATGCAGTTGTCTGAATAGTTGCTTTACTTTTGCCGAGAAACCAAAATTTGATCATCTTGTTTTAATGAAAACAAACTCAGAACAGAGCGTCAAATTTTAATTCTGTAAAGGGATCCAGAGAGTTGAAATTTTTCTTTTGGTGGCAGCTGGTAAAGGGAATATTTAGACAAGTAAAGTTGCCATATAAATAATATATTATATGTATAAAAAGGCTATGTAAAGTAATGTCATCTTTTATAGGTCATAAAACTTTATTCACAAGAATCTCATATTTTCATTACAATGAATCAAAAATTATGATAAATCTATATTTGAATCAAATTATTTTTCACACAATATCTCACCAAAGAAACTTTGCTAAACGAGTGATAAAATTGTTATTCTTATTTTTAAATTGTATATAGTTTGTGATATTCTATAATGCTTTTCTGAAATTAATGTTTATTGATAATCAGCTGGATTTTTCCCTTTTCAAATATTTGATATAGATATAAGATTTATAAGATACAAAAAGCTATGGACTACTATTATATGATAAAATTCATTACTTGCTTTTATTCTAGCGTAAATTTTATTTTGAAATGCCAGGTAGTTCATGAAATTAATATTCATGAATTAATTAGCTCTTGCAAAACCAATTTGAACATATTTTAATCAATAACAAAATATTTTCACTGTTGAAATAGTGCTTATTACATCAATTGTAGAGCAATATAGAACGAAACAGAACCCTTACAAATGTGTTGTTACTCAGTGTTCCACGCCATGCTATCTTCTGAAAACTGACCTATTTCAGCCTGCTTCCATATTTTAACCATATATTAGTTATAAAACCATTCCAAATCCAGATCCGTGTGTCTTTGGTAAATGTATGTTAGTTTTAGAAAAGAAATTGTGATCAGTATAATTGTTTTAAACCCATGCTTCCATCTCACTGTTATCATTCCACATTTTTTTAACAAAATATATATATTTTATATCCTTGTTCTGTATACTGGCCAAAATGCACCTAATAAAGTATAAAAATAACCTTACTGTCAGTATTTCTAACTGTATTTTAGAAGTGTGATAAGATAGTATCATACCACATTGAGTGATATTAGAGATTAACAATTTTGAAAATCATATGTAATTGGAATTAACACTACCATTAAATCTAACAAAAAAATACAATACATGTATCACTAAAAGGGGTACTTCTTAAATATTCCAATCATTTCCACTGATTAGTTATTTACGTTTTTTTGTTATATTTGATATATGTTAACTTGATTTTATTAGGTGCATTCATTGGCTGTATCATTGTTTTTATTGTATATATATATATGTTATATTATTTACTAGGAGTATATCAATATTATTTTATGAAAAACTTAATGTTTTCAATTATTTTTTGGGGCACAACATGTATTAGAGTGAAAACTACACGTAATCATTATGTTTTTATCTTTCAAGTGCATAAATTACAAGATATAATGGATTATATAATAAAATTAACCAAAATTAAGTTGCTTATATATCTATATATATATTTGTTGACACTAGATGATTTTATAATAAATATATATTGCTCTTAATGTAGAATTCCTCATTTCATTATCATCCCACAGCCATATCCTATTCTTCTACACTTCTTTCAAAATGTACCATGGAATTTAGACTGGGATTACTTACTGGTTGTAATTGATTTACACAGCTAACTGCCTATGAGCATCTTAAAATATGGGCCTGAAGTGACAAAAAGAATAACCCAAATACATTTTTGTTCCATTGAGCTCTATTAGTTTTATTCAATTACAGACATCTTTGTTTGATTATGATAAGATATCTAGGATTACATTAAAACAAGTCTACAGAACAATGTATGAAGGTTTATTTACATAATATACAAATATATTCACAAAAACAATAAAAACATTGCATAAATTTTCAATGTGAAACGTTCAAATATGATCTGGTTTTCTCAATCAAATTCATACAGTAAATGCTCATCTTTTGCCCCATTAGGAGGCCTTCTGTGTAATAAAAGAGCATGAAAACACCCAAAGCGATAAAGGCTAGTTACCTCAACAATTGGAAGCTTTTAGGCTTATTTATAAATGAATCTCATCATGTATTTGATTTGACTGAAGGCAATGTGAGGAATGATATTAGTGTATATACAGTAATGTGATTATTGATTGACATGATATATATATATTATTGTTAATTATGTTACATGACTATTAATATATATATATGACTATTGATTGAAAGAACTACCATATTTTTTATAGTCAAACACAGATATATATTGCCATGCAATATACAATAACATGTATGTTCTTGCTTTTTTAATTTAGTTTCTATCAGCTGAGATGAACTTGTGACTTCAATTTCTGACCTTGGTAAATAATTCACAGTTTCTTTCTTTCTCCAGCTTGATCCTAGACCCTTAGTTTAAAATAGCCCAGTTTATTCACATAGTCATGATAATAATTGGCAAACATCAGTCGTAAAAATCAGTAACTCTATATTGAGTTGGTGTTGGGTCTCTTGGGTTTTTTGCGCCTTCAAAATATTATGAAACAAACTCCAGAGTGTAAGTATTATAACTAAGATTCAGTCTTAATCCCAATATTTGATAACACCATCCCAACCACATGTGGCAACTTTAGATGTTTCATGTGGATGCCATAAACATGATATACAAACATCATCATGTGCTTTGAATTTACTGTATAATTTGGTAGATTTCCAGTCCCAGATATATAATTTACCATCTGCATCTCCCGATATTAAATAACTGAAATATCAAAATTATAATTAGATGATCAATATAGAGATATACTTTACAAAGTTACCTATCACTCTTCCAAATCAAATCAGAAATCCATTCTCATACAATCTGATAATGCAAATACCATGGAAGACTTACCTCACTTCCTGATAATGAATGGTTTTGAGAACTTCAGAACAGTTTGGAAGGACATACAATTTTCAAATCTTTAAATCATCCCTTAACCGATACCATACAGTTTTGACTAATAATCTTAAGACTTACCTCATATCAGGTGAAAAATCCATACCACAAGCAAAACCAGCAACCTGCAAATCAATTTAAATATTTAGAAAATTTATACAATTCCCAGTAGCTACTCTTGAGCTCTGTACCTTCAACTTGTACATAAATCATAAATAATATATGAATGTTTAATCCATGCTCTCATCGTTATCTGTAATATATATCAGATATACTTACCATATGACCAGTAAATGTTTTCTTTCTCATATATTTAAATCTATTTAATACATTAAATACACAGATCTTATTGTCCATAGACTGACATGCTAGCCATTTACCTGCAATATATCATAGAATATTTATCAATTGGTAGTAATTAAGAGTAACAGTCTTGGTCTTGCAAATACAAAGAAATCGAAATATAGCAAGTGACAGAAGAAGCTTGAAACCTTTCATAACTATTTGACAAGTATGTAATTTAGTAAAGGTTATAATGAAGAAAATTGCTGAATGATGGTCTTAGCTTCAACTTTAAACTTTACATAACATGATTTTAGAGCCATCTGATTGGTCATCCATTAAAAAGTTTATGAATTTAGTTTTATTCACCAATCATCATTACATTTGTTGTAATCTAAAGTTAAGCATCAGTGAAAAGACGATCAAGTGTCATGTGAAAATTTAAATATGTATTTTAATATTATTTTTGCCTTCATTCAATATCGTTATTCAGTTTTTATAAATTTACAAAAACGGAAACCAAAAATAGTTACTTACCATTATGTGATAAAGTTGTAGCAGGCATAGAATGCATCGATGGATCAGATATATATTTAAAATCTACTGGAATATCCCTAAAATAAAAAACATTTCCATTGATCAAATAACAATCAGGGCAAACATGATATGAACAATGAATGTAATACAGTGTGCTGCTTTGAGAATTTCTAAGAGGGAAAGAGGCTTTATCAAACAATCTAGATTTCCATTTCAGCTATTACTTTAGCAAATCTAGAGATTATCAAAAATAAATTTGGGTAACAAACGTGAAAACTGTCAAAACCTAAAAAATTACTTACCATTCCCAAACTCTTAAGCTTTTGTCATCTGAGGTTGAGACAAATCTTCTATTCTGATCAACAAATGTTATAGTATTAACAGCTCCTAAATGTCTATCATATTCTTGTACTATTTCATTAGCCCTGATATCCCACTAAAAATACACAAGGCATTAAATGATTAAGCTCAGAAATCTGATCTACAAAACTAAACAGTTTGGCCTGTTTGAAACAGAAAGATTCGAGTAAATCAAAGTCAAAGTAACTTACACAAACTATCTTTTTATCTGAAGTACCAGCTACAAATAAATGTTGTTTATCTTCATCAGGATGGAATTTAATACAATATGGTACCTTTCTACTAGTAAACCTAGCTTTACATTCACCTGAAAATAAAACAATGTCAAATTACAGTTATTCAAAATAACCATTCCAAATATATATATATGAATAAAAAAAGTTAAAATTTCAAGGTACTATCTTAACTGCACCCCAGCCCTTTAGATTAGTGGGAAAATGTTTTAACTGAATGCAGCCCCAATGAAAGATAGATACAATATATCAATCAATGATATAAAATTATTACTGACCTGTCTCTGTGTCCCATAACTTACAATATCTATCGTAGGCACAACTTAGAAATTCTTTACCATCATTATTAAAACTTATATCTCTTACAGCTTGTTTATGTCCATTATATGTTCTCACACATCTTCTATCATTGTATACTTCCCATATCTACAATTACCAAAAATATAATGAATGTGACATCATTTAATGACTAAGATTAACGCATACTCAGTTGAACTAAAGTCTCAAGAGACATTGGGTAACTTGATAATGCTAGAGAAATAATTTTTCTTGTTATGATTTCAATGACTGAACTATATCTAAGAAAAAGTCTAAGAATAAATGCAAGGTATAATGGTGCATACATGAATAAATAATAACAGTTAAGCAACAATGAGTTTTTTAAAGCTTACCTTAATCTTAGAGTCCATACTACAAGACAATAAGAGATGAGCTGTTTTTGGAAACCATCTGATAGCAGCAACACCTTTTGTATGACCAGTCCAAGTATGGATCTGTTTTTTGGGAAGAAAACATTTTTCTGGTGGATCGTCTGAGCGTAAATTAACACCAACATCTTGTGGTGCATGTAAGAAGGATCGACCTTGATAATCATAAGCATCTTTGACTGAAAGAAAAAGGCCAGCAATGATGAACTGTAGAAAACAAAGGGTGGAAGAATACTCAGTGCCATTCGTGAAATCAACAAAATAGTAGGGAGGCAAATGATTTTTTTTAAGTAACTCCAAAATAATATATACACAGAGAGTCCAAATATCCAACAGTTTAGCTTTAGTTCAGAAAAGAAAGACAAGTGGCTGTTTTAAAAGCCCCTTAAAACTTACTGTGTAAAACTGTCTTCTCCTCTCCAACTTTTTCTTCTTGTTTCTTATTCATTTTACTTCTCTTGGCTAATATTTCATCTAAATCTTTCTGTTCTTCCTAAAAAAAAGGTTTGGAAATGAGATATTAAGATTTTTCTTTCTACATACAGAAATTATTCATCGTAATTCTAAAAGTGTTTCTCCATAAATTAGGCCGGAGTATTTTCCCAAAACAGGAGCAAAAAAAACATTTATTACCTCACTGGGTTTCATCACTGTTTGTTCATCAACATATTTTCCCCAGGGTCCTAAATAGCCTTCAATATCTCCAGCATCTTTATTCTTCTCTCTCTTACGCTTCTCTGATGACTTTATTTTGATTAGGTTTTCAAATACTGTTGCACCTAAATGAAAACAAGTGTAAATGTAGTACTAGGTTGTCATTGTCTTCTATCAAAACTGATTCTGCTGTTGGAATGGTTCACAAGACATAGTATACAAGAGAACAAACAAGTTATAGTTATACCAAAACATTATGTTTTCAGATTATATATTTAGATATAGTTAATGAGTAGAGGACAATTGTATATGGTTCCCAAAACATAATTTTAGGGAACAGGTCATCTGGCCCTTATTTTAAAAGCTTTTTAGATTCTAGATTCCTTGTTAGTGTGTATGTACCCAGGCTAATAGCAAACTTGACTTTGAGATACAAGACTGAGATTTACCTGAAAGATTTTTTTTTTCCATGTTGAGTTGAACAAATTTCAAATATTAGAAACAACTGTGAATATGTAATATAAATGCATGTTATTGAAATTGGCTTGTATTTTGCTTAAAGGACTGAACTTTTGTTCGATGTGTTTGTGAATGAATCATAGATTCATACCTTTCTTTTCTTCAGCTGTGATTGTATCACCAATAATTTTCTCTTCAACCTGTGTAATGTCTACACTGGGGTCAATAGCATAACCTATGAATATAAATAAATCAAATTTTCTTAGAATCATTCCTTGGATTAGATAATAAACTTCAGAACTGTTGCCCCCAAAACTTGACTGAGTCATTTTACGAAAAAAATAAACCTGATAAATAAAGTATTTTTTTTAATATGAAATAAGAGTGTAATCCCTACTTTTCTCCACCTGATTTTTTTAGGCTGACAATGATGGATAAACTTACTTAAATAATGACACACATTATATTTTTTCAAACCATAATTAAAATAAAATATTGAACCTACCATAACTGGCAAAAGTCTTTCTCTGGTTATCAAAATGAAAATTATTAATATGAGCTGGTTCAACATAACCTGACAATGTGTTTTTAACCGCATTTGCTTGTTGAGTTTTATATGGGTTGACTGGACCAACCTGTAAAATAATCAAGATCAGATTTACAAAAGAAAAAATGTAAATGACTTGGATCCAAATTTCATCAAATCTACAACATGTATGATGTATGATACTGTATAACATAACAAAAAACTCCATTCCAGTATATTGAAGGATAGATACATAAATGCTGCTTGATTAGAGTAATAATTTTTTTTCAAAGTTTACTAAACTTTCACACATAAGTGAAGGATGCTTACCTGAGGTGCATATAGTTCGTCATATTTGGGGTTAAACTTAATCTCTTTTGTGGTTGGGTCTAAAGTTCTTGACAGATGAACATCATCCTATAAAATAGCAAATCGTGTTAGTGCTTTTCATTCTATAAGCTTATTTATATTATAAGAAAGAGTATAAAATTTCCCTGAAAGAACAGATGCACAGAAAATTAGGTCATTGTTGCAAATTCAATCTCACAATCAGAAATTATATCTTTTAACTATAAGACTTTGTTAAGTGTGCTTGCTGAATTTTTCGGATTAAGAGTAATAACGTAAACAAACGTAAATCAGAAACAATTCGTACTTTAGAGGCAACAACAGGGGCTGAATTCAGAGACATAGTTGTTATAGGTGCTTTGGTTTTATCTATCGGTTTCAGATGACAAATCTCATCTTCATTTTTAGGGGTTTTGTTATCATTTGATGCCGTGGACTCGTTTGAATCACTATCGTAATTTTGTAAAGCCAACATCGCTGCCATTTTACTGTAACGAGGAAAATAAATGTCGGACTGTTATTGGACAAATATTAAAGTTTTGAATTCACAAAATGATATTATAATGGAGTTGGGTGTGGTATATTCGTATTATTGGGTAAGTCAAAGTCATTAGTTAAATTTTTTGTTTTATTCATTCCATTTTCTTTCATTTTATTCCGGAATCTTTCCGAATCACAGTTCTCGTGCACCTGCGAGAAATTGCGATAATGTCGCCATTTTGACACTTCCTATACAATGTTGTTAGAAAGATAATGAATTTTACGATTATTTCCTGATTGGAATATTATTTGCATTGTTTATTTTAGAGGTGAGAATAGTTTTATTTCTTTTTAGTTATATTTGTTCATAAAACAACGATTTAAAGTGTATGAAATACAACGTTGTGGTGGATAGCTCGGGGTGTGGTGACCCGGTTTCAAAATATGAATAATATTGCAAGCACTTGCTGCTCAACGAGGAGAGGTAATCAAGAATTCTATTGAAAGAATTGCATTTTGTTGTAGTTTGTAGAGTTTCTTATAGATCCATTGTATAATGCTTGTGTTAACGTTGTAGTTGATTTCCATGTAAGAAGTCTGAAATTGGAAATCTACATACATAGCATAGGACAGCATTAATATAGGCCTACCCTAGGCCTACATAGTCAACAACAAGGCAGTGATTATCATTGCACTAATACCCTCCCCCCTTTTCATGTTCCAACATTTCCCCTTATTTACCATTTTTAACCCAGGGATTTCACCCCAGTGTGGCAGTGGTTAATGAAATGAAAGGACTCTACTGTGGTCCAAAAGAGAGAGAGAAGACTTCTTTAAAGGACATACCGTAACATAAAGATTAGAACCTGAACATATATAAACTTTCATGACTGCTGTTTGGCCTAATATGAATTGTTTGGTTGACAAGTGACAATACCTCAGCATAGTGACCTAAATTGTATTTTTAAAACATTATGGAGACGCTGTCACATATAAAAGTTAATTAGAAATAGTGAAATTCTTAGCTTAACGTGTTTTGAAGGAATTATGCAAGTTTCTTACATTTCTACTACCGGTAATTCTGAAGGCTATTGACATATATTCAAGATCTAAATCAACTCCCATAAATGATGAATCTGTCCCTGTTACTCTGGATTCCAGGACACATTATTGGAAATCGGAATTATGTACCTAAATAGGAGCTATCAGTGTCCATCTAGAAATACAAAGTAGAAAGCATTTTTCGTTTGAAACCTATGATACTGTATGAAAAAATTATTTTATGATATTGATAGACAAGATCTAGGACGTGTGCATAATATATTACTGATATGTATGTCAGAGTGGGTTGACTAATTAATGGGTGTAATATGGAATGTTATTAGTGTAATTAAAACTAGTAATGATATTAGCTGTCTCAAATTGAAACATATTAGGCCAAACTCATGTAAAAACAAAAATGATTATTTATATTAATAGTTACACAACGATATTAATTAAGTTTTGTTTGCAAGTAATTTTTATCTGATTATATATTTTAATCAAACACCACATGAAAGAAATAGGAACATTTTGATGAGATGTGTTGGGCAGTATAATAGTTGAAGTAGAATTTACATATTCTCTTGCTATGTGACATTTTTTATCTTTAGCTTCGATCGGTGAAAATGCCTGAGCTGAAAGAGATTGATAAAGTCTCTAAATAACATCTATATATATATATAACAATTTTGATACATATAACAATGTAAACTCTAAAGATCTTTAGGTTTGAATACAAGTGTCTCACCCAGTCACCCCATAATGATTAACGTATTATTGAAATATATCAGTCCGGATGACTGGATGAAGATAAGGCAGGAGAAGTATGGAAGTTTTTGATTTCCCACTTGCCTAGGAAAAATTGTACATGGTGAGATGTGCATATTAAGTGATTGCAAAATTTATTTGGTTGTTTGTCTTGTACAAATTTGCAAGTTTAAAGCTCATATCTGTCAGGTATTTTGTTAATAACTGTGTTTGACATTAGCATATTCTCATAGTCTCCAATAGTTTCAATGTGTTATAAAAGTATTTCACAGATGTCAAGGATACATTTGTCATCACCTCTATTCATTTTGGCTGTTTGCCAGGTACAGTTCAAAGGTTATTATGAACATTAAATTATATTTTGATAAAAGTATTTTTCCATTTTTCTGGGTCAGTGTTTATCTTGTTTTCTATATTTTATTGATTCATTTGTACTTTCAAACAAGTTGAATTGGTTGAATTGATTGCAATCTATATGAAATAGAAAACTATGTAGAATATGTGTTATTTTGTATATATTACTGATGGTTGAGTGATGATGACCTACTTATTAAATTGTCAATAGGTATTTTAATATGGTGTGTTTAGACTTCAATAGCTATATATCATCAGTTTTTATGGCATTTAATGACATTTTGCAAAGATGTGCCATGTTATAAATTCATTTATTTTTTGAAGCATTTGAAACTTATTTTGTCCCTAGGCAAAATATTGTTTCTATTTAATTTTTAATGTTTGTTTGGAACTCCATTGAATTGAAGGAGAATTCCATAAATCATATGTCGGAAAACGAAAACAATTTATTTTTCAAATTATGTGTAGTCCTCATATTGTTCGTGTAGCGCAGAAAAAAGAAGTGATATATGACAAAATTAAAATCAGATTGTCAATGGAGCACATGAATTGCTGCAACTGAAGTGCCTTCTTGTCTGGAACATTAAAGATCACATGCAACATTAAGCAGGTTTCTTCAATATGTCATTGCACTATTGCAGACAATTTAAAGGCATTCTGTAAAGTGTCAGGTGTTCATAATTTTGAGTTTGATTTTTTGGTAGATATGTAGATAGGTCGATCTCCATTTTTAACATATATCAAGTAGGATGGATATGTTTGTCTTTGGTATGTGCTGTGCTACTTGCAAGATTATCTAAATGTGTTTTCACACCCTGGAGATTGATTAATTATTAACTTGAGGAGATTGATTTTGATCTTGGTAAAAGGTAAAAATTGGTAGTTCAGTGACAAAAGACTGCAAAACATTTGTTAATATTCTTTAAGGGTTTTTTCATAAGGTCACTAGGTGCAAAGCATGATCTGTTTTTCCTTAATTCTGGCTTTGTCATCTATTTGCAAATGTTGTAATTTTGTATAAGGAAACATAAAGGAAATTCTGGTGCCAATGTTTATTAAAGATCCTGTTATGAATATTTTACTAATCTCACAGTTGATAATGTCTGAGTATTATAGAGATTAATTGTCTTTTTACTGTGGAGTTAATATCCTAGTCAGGGTGACCCATGTCCAATACTGAAACTATTGATTACTGTCAGTGACGGTCAAGATCAATGTTGTCACCACATCTCCTCATTACAAATTGACAATTACTGGTCTACGATAATTTATTGACCTAAATGGTACTATTAAGGCAGTCAATGAGAAAATCTTTATTGGAAACTTATTCTTATTACAACTGATGACTCAGAAGTCAGATCTCAGAGAGAATTTTTCATGCGTTGATACTTAGTTCTGTTTGCTGGGCAGCAGTAATAGACTTGTGTATTGACTTCTAATGTCTGCGCTATGAAGCAAGTTTTTACAAAAGTCAGTTTTCATTTTCTTCCATCTGATAATAAAAACTTACCATAAAAATTTTTTGAAATATTTAAATTCAGATTATTTTGCATTCTTTGATAAATTTTCTGAAAAATTCAATTTGTCATAACAGTACACTTCTAAATCTCATCAGCAAATTATGTGTAAGTTAGAGACTATCCTTTAATGAAGTTTAAAAAGGTAACATTATATTGTTAAATTAACAATAGGTGACTGAGCAAGTAATGAAAAGGATCTTTCATAACATCACACTGTCTGTTGGGTGGAGTCTCTATTTCATAAGTAAGTTAACAAATGGATTAAGGTCAATCTGAATATAAAGATATGATTCTTTTGTACAAGACAATCTTGTTATAACATGGTTTATAGGACGGGGTCTTTATATAATATATTAAACAAATTACTACACAGTTTTAGAACTTCAATCAGACATGGCTGGCAAATTTGCTGAAATCATTAGTATGTTAAAACAACAATATCTATATTTTTTGTATGGTTAGAACTGTCCTTTCCTTGCATTTATTCTTATCAGATGATAAAAAGTTTTTCAAAAGTGTCAATGTGAACTACAAGTAAATTGTTATTTAATTGAGTTATATATCTAAGTACTGATGTAATTTAAACTTGAACAAATGATTAATGAATCATTGATATAAAGTTCACATTGACTTCCTCTTTATACTTACTGTATATATATAAATATTGTTCAACCAATTACGTAGTAACACAACAGTCAGTTTAAATGAAATGAATAGAGTTTTACCTCCTATATTTCTGCACCTGTGAGCTATTGAAGACGGTGAAACGCCATGCAGTTTGCAATGAGGGGTATTTTGCCAGGGCAGCAGCATGAGCCTCCTTTTTTTATAACTGTTGAGGGATCTTTAACGTGCATAGTCTGTAACACACAGGGCATTGGTTTAGTCAGTTTTAAGATCTGAGATCCAGAATGATGGGGGATACATTTCTATGTATATCACTAAGATTTCTAACTAGGCACATTTGTGAAACGTATTTAGGGATTCTAGAATTGAATTGATCAGCTCCAAGATCATCTTCACAATGTCAATCTATTATTTGCTTGGATTGCATACAGCTTATGGCATTAACAACCCAGCCCTCATTAGTAAGCCTGTAAATATTTTGGCTTTGGGTTCACAGACTTTCTGTTGAGGCCCCGTATTGGCTCTATAGCATAAAATCCAATCAAGCAATTAATTTAATTACAAACTTCCATAACATATGAAGATGAAAGGTGGCTATAGCAGTCAAGATATAAGTACAAAGTTTGTTTTGGTTGGAATTTATCAAAAGGGAATGGTTAAAATTAGCATTTATACAGGACATAGTTCAGTTTATAGTTGGCTCATAATCAGAATATCCTAAAAGTGTGAACCTTTGTGCTGTTGTTAAAAAGTCTTGAAATCCAGGCATGATTGCAGACAGCTGTTTAGATTGTGTGGATAAAGGCATGATGAATGCAGACAGGTATGTAGAGAATATATACAATATGACTTGTTAGAGAGATAATGTCAGACTGTACCTATTGTTTATATTGTAAACTAAACTATGTTATCATTATCTATCTCAGGTAAAAGTGAAATGTTTAATAATAGTTTTCATGTCATTCTATACTTCCTACTTCTATGTTTTATGTCTTCAAGTTTAATCCATAATTGTCACTACAATACATTTACCACTGATATTTAACTTTTAACTACTGACACAACAGTTGTTTAAGATGTTGTGGAAAGCGCACCAAGACTTTTTACAATTGATTATGAAGGAGAAATTTTGCCTAATATTTAGAAGTTTCCTTTCGGCACATTCTTTACAGCTGAAATGATAATCACCGATGGCTATAATGTAACTAAAGTCTGTATATTCTATATAACAGCTTAATAGATTTAATAACGCCAAAGTCTAGGATTGTGACAGTAAGTCTGGTAACTCTATTTCTATCTTGGTCTGATATTTGTCTTCTATCTTACTTACATCTTACAGATATTATTGATTTTTATACAGAGGAAAATAATAATATAACAACTAGTATAATCTTATAACAGTTTTCTATCCTAACACATCTGTGACTGCAGTCTTTTTATTTTATAAATTTTATCTGAAATCAAATTTATCAAAGCACTGTCAAATTTACATAGATTCTTATTATGAAATTTGTAATTTGACCTGTTTTTTTTTTTTTTTAAACATCTGTAAATATGAATATTGTGTGGAAGTAGGAATAAGGGTCTGAGTAAAAACACTCAAGATGCCAAAATTGAATATGGCGTTATCCGTCTTCATTAGCCAATAGTCCGACATAAAACTAGATTTCAATTTGATTGTATTCCAACCTTATACATCCACTATTGAATTATAAAGGAAAATGTTTTCACACAATGTTTATAATCAAATATGAAGAATGTAAAATATTGAATAATGTGTTGTATTGTTTATTAGGTAAATATTTGTCTATTACCAACAATCTATTAGTATTCCCTACATTTTCTGATAATTATGTGTTTGAATAAATATTTATTGTGTACATGTCCACTTGCATTTTAGATTATAAGATTGATGTGGTTTTTATAGTTTCTTTCAGAAAATCATTTGGTGGCTAGTGTACTGAACATGATTTATAATAAATCTATGAATAAGAAATGATGTTCTAAAATAACTAATCCTCAGCTTGCCGCTTTTGGGTTGCATCAGCGTGTAATGCAGTAGGGGTTCGTTCATTGCTACATAACTCATGATAGTGCTTTCAGATATTTTAAGCTGGCTTAGCTCAGTGGCAATAATGCATGTTGGAGGTTCTGATATCAAAAAAGTATATAAATCCCAATAGAATTATATGAGGTCCTAATGCTCCAGAGAGCGGAAAAAATCCCTTAAATGCATAATGTGACATTTTGTGTTTTTTGCAAAATCAGGTAGAAAAGACAAATGTTAGGGCTATTTCATTTTAAAACCTCAGGATCGGATCTCTCTAAGCATTATTGGTGTAGGTGTGTTCTATGTAATGACAAAACGTTATAGAGGATTGGTATCATTTGGTCCCATGTAAAAATTGTTAGTTGAATCAGTAGAATTAGATTCAAGAAACAAGACAATCAACAGCTCAGGAATGTTTATTTTGAATGTAGACTTGTTTCCTGAATTGTTTAACTTATCTTTGAACATGAAACCCCCATGATTCACCTCAAAGTAATTGATTCTGGTTGCATTTCTGATTTTCTTTGCCAAGAATTTATACATATGTGCACAGTATGTGCAGATAAACCCATTCATTTGAATTAAATGATATCTGTTTCTCATTCATATTCTTATATTAAAGTTCAGAAATTTTTTGTGTTTAGATTTCTTTCAAGATATGTTATAGTGATCATTCAGAAACTTTGATATTTTATAGAATAGTATTCATAGTCAATAGAGAGTACGTCATACTGCTTGTTACTTTAAAGAGTTTTTGTACAGTGACTACTGGCTAATCAAAAGTTTGATTTTGAAATAAAAGGTTCACTGTCTGAAATAGCAGCTTAGAATAAATGAAAAAAATTTGGAAGCTTTTAAGCATATGAATTCATCAAGAAAGGATTACTTCTGCCATTGGCATCAGTAGAAAACGAACTGACTTCACAAGTACCTTCAACTTTGAAAATGGGTTATCTTGCCGGTTTCATTATTTTAAAGCTAGCCCACACAGATACAAAAAAAGAATTGAGATAGAAATTTAATTTAGAGAAACTCTCAAACCTTTTTATTTAATATAAAAATTTGAATATTCAGATTTTTTATTTCTGTGGTTTACCATTGAAACTGATGTTATATTTTCTTTTTGATATATTCAGAAAAATATTTGTTAGGAAACGTAATAAAATTTCTGTTTAGATTTAAAAAGTCTATTTGTATATGAAATATAAAACACTGTTGAATTAGTAGTGTATAAAAGAAGCTGTACTCTATGTTCAGTGGGTGGTGGTGTATAAAATGAATTAATTTAGTTTTTAGGTCACATATCACTAGGTTGACTGGACTGAATCTATTTAGAATATATGTTCTGAGTGCATACTGAAGTATTAGGTTGCGTTTTTTTACATTCCATTAATTTGATGAATTAATTAAATTAATTAGGCATACATCCCTACTTGATACAGTTTTCCAACCAATGCGTTTCAGAATTTAAAACAGCATTTTGTTCATTTTGTATTCTATTTTAAATTAGTGCATTTTTTGGAGTTACCTGTAGGGAAGCATTAAAACTATCACTTGTTTTGACGTTCATTAGCCTACGGGTACTATATCATATTTTGTATATGCTATGATTCAGTTCTTGTGCGTTCAATCTTGTCTGTAGTGCTTCAGTGGTTGAATGTTCAAATTGTACGCAGTAGTTTTCAATTTCAGCAGTTATGTTTCAGTTTTTATATCTCCTAGTCTTGATATGTTGACCTTTATTGTTAATGCCTATTGTCCTTCATCCATTTAAATTTCCTCGTACATTCTCTATATGAAAATATTCTGTGTCTGCTATAATGCTGTTGATGTTTCATCACCTATGTTGCTTTATGATTTGAAGTGTCTGAAGCTGAATGTGAATGATATGATTAAAGTCTTGAATGATCTACTGAAACTGTTTTGATAGTAAACAATTAACAAGGAACTATTTTTAGATTAATAATTATCTCTCAATTCAAATATCTTGTCCTTATTCAATCAAATTTAAAATATGACTGTTTTCTATTTACAGGCTTGATGTAGGACCAGACAGCAATGCCTCTCTTTACGAGAACGATACAGCCAGTGGCTGTAAGTCGAGTGGAAGTCGACCCTAGTATACCAAATGAATTGGAATGTGTGACTAATAACTCTCTATCCAATATTATCCGACAGTTAAGTGGACTCAGCAAGTATGCCGAGGATATGTTTATGGAACTGTCCCAGGAGGCCAGCAATGTGTTAACTCGTTCAAGCAGTTTACAGCATCGAATTGATAATTTACGTGATAAAGTCACTCAATTGAATGCTACAGTAGAAGAAGGTAATATTGGTTTTATAAATTACTTATTATTTTCAATTTTCTTGACTGCTGGAGTAATTTAAAATTCTATACCAGTCTTGCTATTACAGATTAGTTTTATTTTTAATTTGTTAACCTGTCTCCAATTTAATTAACATGGCCACCATGTGGAGTTAAAATGAAGAAAAAGTGAAATGATCTTTAGAAATATTGATTGAAACTGTGTTGAAATGATTACTTACACTACTTCTTATACAAATTCCTTTTCAAGGCTTTAAATTGTCTGCACTGAAAAACTTAACTGTTCAGTTAAACGCTAAAAAATTTAACTTTGCAGCAAAAATTGCTAATCGAACTACTTCTTTATTTTCAATTTCAACCAAATTTTGAAGGTTTTTTAACAACATTTAGCCATAAATGAAGAAAAATGTATTGAAGCACATTATACTTGAATTGTATTGTCAATTAAGCATTTGTACCGTATCAAAGTATTACCTAGATTGAATTGTTATGATGCTGATTGTTTTGTGTTTTTCTTTCAGTTTCACTGCAAGATATACATTTACGGAAACCTTTCAAGAGTTCCATAGCAAAAGAACAACAAGTGATATCTCGTAATACAGTTCCCAGAGCTATATTAGAAAGTTACACTCATTGTACACAACCTCCAGCATTAGATAAACTTAATCAATTTAGGTAAGATTCATTTTTGACCATTGACCATTTAGAAAACCAAAAAACTGCCATTTTGCCTAGCGCGAGTTAGTTGCACATATTAAATATTTGGTTGGTAACATTTATCAGAAAGCTTTTAGACCAAGGTGTTCATTCAAAATTGTCTGATTTATTGCACTATACAAAGTACACTATACTAATATGAACTAATTTGTTTTATGCCATACATATTTTATTTGTAAACTTAAATGACCCAATTTATTTCCCAATAATAATATTATTACTACCTTTATTAGATGTAGATATTGTCAATATTCAAATGATTTTCCTGCAGGAAAACTTCATAGATTTATCAATAATAGGACTTGTTTAATAAAATTATTTTTTAATGAATATTGGATTATAAAGAATTTCAAGGCAAATTCAATATCTTTATGGATGGGAGGATTTGAGGGTATTCACATAAATGTTAACAATATTTTCTTCTATTGAAAGGCTTTGAATTTGTAGTATTGCTCGAATTCATTCTATATAAGCCATATATGATACAGGTAGATAAGATTTGAGGTCACAAATTCAGTACATTAAAATGAATTACAGTAAAAAGGCCATCTACATCTAGCCCTTCCCTTACTCATATTTTATTAGGACCAATTGCAACTTGAAATTGTGTAAAATGTTGTAAACAAACACAATCTATTATTTTGACATTATTTCTTTGTGAATAGAATTTCAGGAGTTAATTTAAATGTTAATATCATGGGTCTAAAACATCCTGATTTGCTCAATATGCAGCAGAATTGAAGATATAATGAATCCATCCACAGAGATATGAGATCTATATAGCTCTGACCTTGTAATTCTCTTCAAGATTGACACAATGTTAGATTAAGAAGATGATTCTCAAATTATTTTGAGAGAAATCAATGTTGATTTTATTATCTTTGGCAAAATATATTTAAACACTGACATTGTAGTGGTTTGAAATGAGATAGTATCTGGTGTTAAGGGGATTATGGAAGACAGTTACTGACAAATTAGATAAACTATATTACCAAGGGAATTATTGTAAGATAAGACTGATGGAATAGTTTTAGTCTGTATTTTCTTTCCACAAAATTTGAAACATGGCTTCAGTAGTCTAGAATTGGTATCTTGGACGTACCTATATTTATTTTATATAAAGTTACCATGGTGAGCAAATTCCATATGATATACTCAAAGAACAGGACCATTACCAATTATTGGGTAGTATTTAGTATTAAGGACAATGATGACAGAAATTTTAAAATTAAAATGGTACCTTTGCCAAAATGAAAAAATTTTCAGATGTTGGTTTCATATCCAACACTTTTCAATTAAACTAGGCTTTTATCAGTTAAATCCTGCTAATATACATTGATCTATTGCTTTGCAAGGATTAAAGTGAGGGTGCCTCTCATTGCATCTACGAATGTTTATAAGAGTATTGTATTTGCTAATTTTAAATGTTAATTTTTTTCAATTCTACAGGGAGGATGGAAAAGACAGCATGAAATTTTACACAGATCCAGGTTACTTCTTTGAATTATGGGTTGCAGAAATGGAAAAAGACTTTAAAGATAAAAAAGAATATTTGCACAAGANACGTCAAAGACGGGTAAGGTTAACATTTATCATTGCTGACTGGTGATTACTGGGATTCAATTAGCTTTCTATGTTTTGTTATGATAATTGGATGAATTATTGTGTTCTGGCCTACAGGCAGTCAATGATACAAGCTTGTAATATTACTAATTAAGTGTAACTTAACGCCTTTCAGCTGACATACTTGATACTTTTTATAGAAACCTCACTTATTATAATTGGTCAAAGTAACCTCTGGTTATTAAGTTAAGGCTAATTGTATTGGCCTGGCATTATATAGTCTGTTTCTTGATAATTTAATTTGATATTCTTCATAATCCCAATAATATACATTGATAATTAGTTGTTTTTTTACAAATTTTCCACATTTTTCTTATTTCAAACAACTAATTTAAATTTTTGGTTGTTTTTTTTTCTTAATTTTGATTATTGATTTGTTGACATGTTAATTAATTGTTGACTATATTTGATAGTCTACTGTACGAAAGGAAGTAAGTATAAAGGTAAAGATGATTCCTGTCGTAATTTGTGGACTGGACTTTTTCATTTTCTGTTGAAGTTTTATTTTGGTTGATTTCTGAGTCTTTTAGTACATAGGTCAATAACTTCTAAAATCTATTCTTCCTGGTAAATAAATCTTAAGATTAATAGCAGATTTCTTTCTGGTTAAATTAGATCTTGGTTTAAGCCTTTATTTCCCTTTTCCGTTTTGTCTAATATTATTTTCTTCCTGTTTGGTTGAATATTGATTGTTTGTACTCTTTTGTTTGTTGTTCAAATCTTTAAATTCTAAAAAAATATTAAATAAAGGAGCGAATTTAAAATCCATACCCCATGTGTTTCCATATTGATATTAATGAATTGTTCCATTTTTTTTTAAAGAGAATGCACACAGAATTTAACTTCTCAGACTTGGTTAATATGATTATATATCTATCTTTTGACTTTCCTTGGTGTCATATATATATAACAGAATCTCTTGGTAATCAGTAAAAATTTATAAAACAACTATGCTATGTTGAAATAATTACTTAGTTTTATATAACAGTGATAATGCTGTCTATGTTCTCCATCAAACAGCAGAAATACAAAAATAATTCTAGAACAAAAATATTTTATCATCCAGCTTAACATAATATTTAAAGGGAAATAGTAATCTGAATAGATGTTAAATTTCAGTTGGACATTTTAGAATAAAATCATACATTTTGTTAATGAATTTAGACCTTATTAATGGAAAATTTCTCTGCAGACTGCAGGAAAGACAGAACAGGTTGTATATAGACAACTGCTGCATTAGTTGGCTGATACTTTAGATTGGTGTCAATCAGTCCCTTATTCAGTTTTAGGAAATTTTAGCACATCTCTATGATCTGTTTAAAATGCACATGAGGATGATTCGGTTTGTGTTTTTTCTGCAGAAGAATTCACTTGACATCCATGATCTGACATTATTGTAATGTCATTGACTTTTTAACCAATCAAATGCTCAAATAAAAAAGAAATCACTCACGATATATATGGCATAATTAAAGGCAAATTTGGGTGCTATAAAGTGGAAATTCTACAATTTAAGTAAGATTCTTGTCTTGGATGACAAGTGTAGTGACCTGCAAAAAAACACGAACCAAATCATTCATATCTGTATTTTAATCAGATTGGCACAAAGTTGTATTGCTTGAAGTTGTAAAGGTGTGAGGAAAGAATTTGAAGTGAGTTTTTTTTAGTGATACAGACCATTGTTTTATCTATGATCTATCAAGTCATTTGTTGCTTATTGAGATAAAAATTGACCCAAAGTTTAACTTTTAACCTGATCTTGTCTCTTTCTACATCTTTGATCTACACAACAATGTAGGCCTGATCTTGATTTACAACTTTTAATAGTTCAAAATGTATTAGATAATGATATAAAGATATATGAAGATTGATTTGTGGGTAATTTTTGGTGTAAAGTAAAGTGTCAATATGATAGATAAGGTGTTAAAATGTTAATCATTTGATGCTGGATATCGTCCTATCTTTCTGTTGTCTCTGACAATGGTGTTGGATAGTGTTATTGTGATAAGATGTTTAAGTTCCAGATTAAGTCTTGGATGCTGGTAAGACAAAAGGTTGAATTTTCAGAAGGGTGCAATATTGTTGTGTTTTAAAACATTCTGTCATTCCTTAGTATCATGTTAACCCCGATTAGAACTCACTAGGACTATTCTTTCACTTTTCTATCATTAAATATGTTGTGTAAATTTAAATTAAATCTACCTTATTACTCTCTACACCTCTTCACTATAATTTGAAGTTGTAGCATAAGGAAATATAATTATAAATTTTGAACTGATTAAAAATAAATCTGTGAAAATTTCACTATTTATTAATTATCTAAAACTCTATTTTTAAATACTTATTGTGGTACATTTAAGATATTTTATTTATCATTAAGTGTGGCTAAGTGATCGACCAAGTTGTGTAAAAGGAAAGAGTAAGCATTTGTGAAGCTCAGTGAAATACATCCAGCTTGAGAACAACTCAATGATTATTTGGGGGAAAAGTTATAGTGCTTGATCAAGGAGATTGTTGTCATTTAATTATTGTGGTGTGAAATTTAGACATGGCCAAATTCCTTATTTGTATTAAAATCAATATCTAACATAGATCCTTACATATTGATACAGACATTACTACTACTATCTGTAAGAGGAGCTTTGTATCTGATTAATTTGTCTGTGAATAGTAATTGTTGATCATTATGTAACATATTCGCATTGTCTTTTACAGAGACCAAGAGAACAGACTAAACAGAAAAGCTTGAAACAGATTCCAACAATGAAAGATAAATGGGAGGCTCAAAAATTTGGTGAAGAACTTAGTAACTACCAAGTGCCAGACACTAAAAAACGCATTGATACACAGAAGATACCAGACAACATGGTACAAGTTAATAATAATAATACCAATAGTCAAACACACAGACCAGATTCTATTAATTTGAAGAAACAGAATTCAGTGATACGTACAGACTCCCA